TCAGCTCTGCACCCTGCATAGGGCTTTATAGACATGTGTAAGACAAATGACATAAGCGGTAGTCACAGAGTGTGCCACACAGGGTGGCACATATTGATCCCAATAAAAACACATGAGGAATTCAGTGGGAAGAATCCAGTGGAAAGGAGAAAAAGCCAGAATGCTTCCAAGAGGAGGGATGATTTGATCCAGAAGTCCATGGAAGTGGCTGGGGAAGACATGATGTGAAGACTGCTGGGAAAGATGGTTCTAGATGGTCAGGACATCAGGAGCAAAGAATAGACATGAAATAAATAATTTCAAGAACTTGGGACAGGCAAGGATTCAGTGTATATCCTAAAAAAAATTTTAAAGTGAAGGAAGGGATGGGTTCGGGAGAGATGGTTGAGAATGTTGAAAGAGTTAACATTGGTCAAGATGCATTGTATTAATAAACTACTTTGTTAGATGGCAACTCTGTACAACTACTTAAAGATGATGATGAGAAGAAGAGGAAGAAGTAGAGGAAGAAGAAAAGGAAGAGGAAGAAGAAGAAAAGGAAGAGGAAGAAGAAGAAGGAGAAGAGGAGAAGAAAGAAGAAGAAGAAGACGACGACGAGGAGAGGAAGAAGAGGAGGAAGAGGAGGAAGAAGAGGAAAAAGAGGAAGAGGAAGAAGAAGAGAGGAGGAGGAGGAAGTGGAAGAAGCTGGGACAGCATGTCAGGGATGCTAGAAAAGTGGGTGGGAGGCTTATAATGGTTCTTTTTTCTTTCTTTTTTTTGGGGGGGGGGGTCTGGTCTTGGGGCCTGAACTCTGGGCCTGGGCGCTGTCCCTCAGCTCTTCAGCTCAAGGCTAGCACTCTACCACTTGAGCCATAGCGCCACTTCCAGCTTTTTCCTTTTTGCTTATGTGGTGCTGAGGAATCGAACCCAGGGCCTCATGCATGCAAGGCAAGCCTCTCTACCACTGAGCCACCTTCCCAGCCGCTATAATGGTTCTTATTACATGCCCAGCTGCTGTGGCTTTGACTTTGATTGTGGAGGATCTTTGATCATGGAAGTGGGGGGACATGACACAATTGTGATTTTCATTTCAGGGGATAGGTGTAGTGGTTGGGTTAAGGAGGCGGGTCATGGCAGAAAGCAGCTGCTCCCTCGTGAGAAGTAATGATGCATAAGGCAATAGGGATAGACATGGCAGGCCCAGGAGGCACTCTGGTTAGCTGAGTGGGGTGCCTATTCAGGGACTGTATGCACATGAGTAAGGACACTTCTCTGGAGACACATTACCAATCAGTCCAAGTGGGGCTAGACAGGTCCACGTGTCCTCAGTGTCCCTAAGTGAAGGCAGAAGGGGAATTATGAGTCAAGGGGTGACGGCAGGTGTTCTGGATTACACAAAGGGTTTCAATAGCCAGTCCTTGGCTCCCTTGTCACAAACAAAGGCCTCTTGACTCATGCTGGTAATCCCAACTACTCAAGAGGCAGAAGCAAGAAGACAAGTTCAGGACTTGTCAGAGTTAGCAGAAAAGAAACTAAAAACAAAAATACTAAGAAAAGAAAGTGGCTCAAGTGATAACTGGCTTGCGTGAGACCTTGGGTTTGATCCTCAGTACTGGGGGGAAAGTTGTTTGATTTTGTTTTTGCCCCGCTGAAGGTTTCTAGTTCACCTTTAAAGTCCTCACTGTATGTTCCTTAATAATTTATAACCTCTTATTCTTTACTTTTTGACTAAAATAACCACAATGAATTTTTGGGGGGAAAAAAAAGAAGGTCCTCAGCTGCCTACTGGGGGCTCATATTTATAATCCTAACTTCTCCAGAGGTTGAAATTTGTGGATCATGGTTTGAAGCTCAGCCTGGGCAGAAAAATCCATGAAACTCTTATATCCAATTAACCAGCAAAAAGCCAGAAGTGGAGCTGTGTTTCAGAGTGATAGGGGTGCCAACATGAGTACAAAAGCTATAAGGGATAGCACCCATGCCCTAAGTTCAAGTCCCGTGCTAGCACACACACACACACACACACACACACACACACACACACACACACACACACACACATGTCCCTCTATTTATGCTGAGATGGCTTTTTTTTTCTATCATGGAGCTTGAGTTCTGTCCCTAAGCTCTTTTGCTTAAAGCCTAGCACTCTACCACTTTGAGCCACAGCCCCACTTCTGGGTTTCTGGTGGTTAATTAAAGATGAGTTTTGTAGACTTTATTGCCTGGGCTTCAACCTAGATCCTCAGATCTGTCTTCTAAGTAGCTAGGATTACAGGTGTGAGCCACCAGTGCTCAGCTTCACTGAAATATTTTTTTTAATTAAAAAAAACTTTGTCGGTAATGGGGCTTGAACTCTGGGCCTGGGTGGCTGTCCCTCAGTTCTTTAGCTCAAGGCTAGAGCTCTACTACTTGAGCCACAGCACCACTTCCGGCTTTTTTCTGCTTATGTGGTGCTGAGGATTGAACCCAGGGGCCTCATGCATGCAAGGCAAGCGCTCTACCACTGAGTCACCTTCCCAGCCCTGAAATGATTTTTATCAGCACCACAAAGTAGTATTTTCCAGGGTGCCCTGCTATTGGCTGAATGAGCCTCTTGGCTCAGTCCTCACACCTCTAGACCACTCTAATCTGAGAGCATTCGAGAGCAGCCTGGGAAGACTCCATCTATATGTAACATGAGGGTCTACAACAAATTCATAACAGGCAGTTCCATAGGTCAGAATTTTTTGTTCTAGCCAAAATGGAATAGAGAGTTGAAAAAAAAAATACTTTGCTGGGCACCAGTGGCTTACACCTATAATCCTAGCTTCTCAGGAGACAGATCTGAGGATTGCAGTTCAAAGCCATCCCAGGCAGGAAGTCCATGAGACTCTTATCTCCAATTAGGCACCAGAAGGTGGCACTGTGGCTCAAAATGGTAAAAGCACTAGCTTTGAGCAAAAAAGCTCAGGGACAGTGCCCAGGCCATGAGTGAAAGGTCCACATGGACAAAGAAAGAAAAAGAAAAAGAAAGAGAGAGGGAGGGGAGGGAGCGACAGAGGGAGGGAAGAAAGAAGGAAGGAAGGAAGGAAGAAAGAAAGAAAGAAAGAAGAAAGAAAGAAAGAAAGAAAGAAAGAAAGAAAGAAGAAAGAAAGAAAGAAAGAAAGAAGAAAGCACATTACTATTTCATCCAGAAATCATCAATGTTATCGTAAGTCATCTCAAGACATGTCTGTTTTTTCCTTCATAGCATCCTGCTGCTTTATTCAATGAACACATATGAGGCACTGATTTTGTGAGATCCATGCTCCTTTCTATGTGAAGGAAGGAAGCGCAGACCTTCCACACCTAACCAAATTTCTGGCAGTAGGAGGCAAATCATCTAACAGGACACTGGCTGACTTGCCTTCATCCCTTGGAGTCAGATTTTCTGGGTCTGACTGCTGGCTGCATCACTTTAAAAAGTTATTTATATCCTCTATGCCTTAGTTCCCTCTTGTATAAATTGTGGATACTGGAAGGCCTACCTGGTAGGGTGTGGAGAGGAATAGCTCCAATGAATACATGTCATATGGGGGCAGCTCATCCCGCAGGTTCAGTAAGTATTCAGGCAGGGTTAGCTTTCTTCTTATTTTTTTCATTATATTTAATTTTAACTTTAACACACATATCTGGGGTGGTCAAAGGATGTCAATGACATGAAAAACAAGAAAAATATTATAACTTGAATTTAAAAGCTAGCAGCACCCAGCTTTGTCTGTCTGTCTGTCTCTCTCTCTCTTTCTCCCCTTCAAGGATATATACAGGAAGGCAGATGTTATTTCTCAATTTCTTCCATCCTCTCCTTTAATTTTAATCTATTTTCCAATTTTTATGAATATGTAATAAACAAATTTTCTAAAATATTCATGAGCAACAATAGGAAACACTTTAAAAGTCCTACTTCCCAGTATCCTCTACGCTAGACTCAGCTTCGTAGTGGGCATCTCAGAGCTGGACAGCCCTCCTGCAGCCAGCACACAGCTCTGGTTACACACTGCCCTACAGTGCCTGTCTAGCTTATTTCCTCATCTGACTCCTTGTTTAGTCTCTTGTTTGTCTTGTTCCTATTAGGGCTGATGCATGCCTTCTTTATGTTGAGAGTTCATTGGAGTCAGCTATGCTCAAGGTAGCTCCTGCCCCACTCCTGCTAAGCATGTGCCTGCCCTTGTTCCACTTTGCAACAGATGACATAATCCCCACGCAATCATCCTGATGTGTGCATATCCAGCAGGAAACAGCAGTGCTTCACTAATGATAATGGACTGAAAGGACTCCTCACAGAGAACAGATGAAGTTCAGGGTACCAACTTGGCACTCAGATGGAGCAGGAAACCACAAATCTCCCTGGGGAAGAGAGACACAGGTCCTTGGCCTGGAAGAAGGGAGCAAATAAACAATAAATGCTTTTCTCCTCCTTCTGTTCTTTTGCCTTACCACCCATTTTCTTCCATGCCAGTAGCCAGAGGGCAAGGATGCCCAAGGAGAAAACAGTTTGTCTGACAATCTACTACTCCCCATAGTTGATGATGGATTCAAGTTATAATGTCAACCTTCAAGAACCCTCTAAAAAGCCAGGCATTGGTGGCTCACACCTACAGTTCTAGCTACTCAGGAGGTTGAGATCTGAGAATCACAGTTTGATGCCAGCCTGAGCAGGAAAGTCTGTGAGACTATTATCTCCAATTAACTCCCAGAAAGAAAAAAAAAGAAAAACCTTTAAAAGAATCAATTTCAAGCATATGTAGACTAGTAGGGAAGGTATTTTAAGAAAGACTTTTCCAAATCAGACTTTCTAAGTATTTAATTCTCTAGTCCCAGCTCCTCACAGGCACTCAGAAAATGCTCATGGAAAGGCTAAATGACTTATTGATGCTTCCCCCCTACACACACACATTTATTTTTATTAGATTTGGAGAAAATATGGAAGGTGAAGGTGCTTTGTTGATTTGAGTACCCAGACTGGTCTCTAGAATGTCTTTATTTTTTTATTTTCATAGTAGACCTCAAAGACAGAGACGAGAAGCCCATGAAGATGCCCACAAGCAAGTCAGGTATGGCCACAAATGCTCACACCAGTCTAAGGATGCTGCTTCTTTCCATACTTCTATCTCAGTGATTCTCAGCAGTGTTTCCAGCCCCCCACTTCCCCCAATCAGGAAGCAGAGGGAGAGAGGTGAGAGGAAGGGACCCTAAAAGGAGGTAGAAGGTATGAGTGCTGTGGGTAGCAGTAGTAACTGCCCCCCCATCCCCCCACTCCCCACCCCCATGTCCCAGCTTTCTCTATTACACCCATGGGCTGCTCAGTCCTCATTCACTAGTTCAGATCTTTCCCTGGGCAACCACTTTCTTGGCTACTCTCGGCTTCCCTCCTCAGCTCCATAAGGCCGTATTCCCTTTGTGTTTCACTTTATGCTTGGAAAAGTGCTTCCACAGCTGGCATCTCAGTTACCTCTACGCATCCCAGCCAATCATCAAGCTTGGTCTTTAACAGTTGGAAAATCATGCGCAGGGAATGTGGTGCAAAGGCACATAGCAGGCAGTTGCAGAATGGAGACAGACTTCTGGTAGCTTGGTCCTCAATACTAGAGAGTTCCTTCAGGAAAGAAGATAGCAAAGGACAGAGGTAGATACAAATGCACTAGGGTTTTTCAAGATTTTTCTTCTGACCACCATACCTATCACCTGCAACAGTATCTAGGACTCTGAACCTTGTCAGATATGCAAATTCTTGTCCTCTGCCCAAAACTACTGTACCAGACACTGTAGGGGCTATGGAGGGTCAGGAATCTGGATGATAATGAGTCTGGTAGGAGATGCTGACATATGCTCAATGTTTGGAAGCCATTACACGGTGGGAAAGGAAGTGTGTGTCAGCTCCCCTGAAGAAGAGTTGGCCAGGTGTCAGCATATGGAGGATCTGGGAGGACGGTGATCTATGGATTTCAAAGATTGTGCTGATGAGCAAATGAGCAATATTCAAGGCTGCTGTTTATAAGGGCAGAAGACTGGGAGTAAATCCAAACATCTACTGCTAGGGGACTGCTTGGTCACGTAGTTTATGAAATATCCACTCAAAGAATTCTGCATTGTAAAAAGAATAAGACAAGACAGGCACTGGTGGCTCACACCTGTTATCCTAGCTACTCAGAAGGCTGAGATCTGAGACTCGCAATTCAAAGCCAGCCTAGGCAGGAATGTCCATGAGAGTCTTATCTCCAATTAACCAGCAAAAAGCTGGAAGTGGAGCTGTGGCTCAAGCAGTAGAGTACCAACCTTGAGCAAAAAGGCTAAAGGACAGTGCTCAGGCCCTGTGTTCAAGCCCTAGTACTAGAACAATAACAAAAAAGAATAAGGCACTTGGGGTTCTCTGGTATACAAACAAATCCAAGGCTTATTAAGTAAAGGAAAGGCAAGTAGACATAAAAGAGTTCCTAAAATGCTAATTGGGTGTAAAGAAGTAGAGAACTAAGACTATTTCATTGTTCTTACATATTTCTATATAAGCAAGTCTGGACAGATAAATAAGAAACCAATAAAAGAAGTACCTGTGGATGAGGGAAGAGGGTGAATGGTGAATGAATGCATTAAAAAAAAGTCAAACCTGCAAATACATTACTTAGAAAAAAAATAACTACGAATTGCCACAGAGGCAATCCAGAAGTCAAGTCCCATAGAGACAGGGTGGGTGGCATCAGACATGGGTAAATCCATTCTCCCTTCACAGAGTGGCCAATGAACATCAAGGAAAACAGGCTCAGCCACACCCACTCATTCTCCTCCAGCCCAACCTTCCTCTAATGCCTGAGAGCCAGCCCAGGAGGAAAGTCCATGAGATTCTTATCTCCACAGGAAAGAAAGAAAGAAAGAAAGAAAGAAAGAAAGAAAGAAAGAAAGAAAGAAAGAAAGAAAGAAAGAAAGAAAGAAAGAAAGAAAGAAAGAAAGAAAGAAAGAAAGAAAGAAAGAAGAAGAAAGAAAGAAAGAAAGGAAGGAAGGAAGGAAGGAAGGAAGGAAAGAAGGAAAGGAAAGGAAGGAAAGAAGGAAAGAAAGAGATTGAGAAAGGGAGAAAGGAAAGAGAATGAGAAAGGGAGGAAGAAAGGAAGAAAGGAAGGTAGGAAGGAAGGAAAGAGAGAGAAAGGAAAGAAAAAGAAAGAAAGAAAGAGAGAGAGAGAAAGAAAGAGAGAAAGACGGGGCTGGGAAGGTGGCTCAGTGGTAGAGCGCTTGCCTTGCATGCATGAGGCCCTGGGTTCGATTCCCCAGCACCACATAAGAAAAAAGAAAAAAATCCAGAAGTGGTGCTGTGGTTCAAGTGGTAGAGTGCTATCCTTGAGCTGAAGAGCTGAGGGACACCGCCCAGGCCCAGAGTTCAGGCCCCACGACCAGATCCCCCCCCCCCAAAAAGAAAGAGAGAGAGAGAGAAAGAAAGAAAGAAAGGACTGGGAAGGTGGCTCAGTGGTAGAGCGCTTGCCTTGCATGCATGAGGCCCTGGGTTCGATTCCTCGGCACCACATAAGCAGAAGAAAAAAAAGCCTGAAGTGGTGCTATGGCTCAAGTGGTAGCACGCTAGCCTTCAGCTGAAGAGCTGAGGGACAGTGCCCAGGCCCAGAGTTCAGGCCCAATGACCAGACCCCCAAAAAACAAGAAAGAAAGAAAGAAAGAAAGAAAGAAAGAAAGAAAGAAAGAAAAGAAAGAAAGAAAGAAAGAAAGAAAGAAAGAAAGAAAGAAAGAAAGAAAGAAAGAGAAAGAAAGAAGTAAGTTAGGAAGGAAGGAAAGGAAAAAAAGCAAGCTGAAAGTGTGGCGCAAGTGGTAGAGCACTAGTCTTGAGCAAAATGCTCAGGGATAGCACCCCGAGTTCAAGCCCCAGGACTGGCACCAAAAAAAAAAAAAAAAAACCAGCACCAGCAGCTGTCAGTCTTGGTTACTTATTAAAAACCATTTAGGAAGCCAGCCCTACCTCTACTTGCTTCCATCAAACCCAGGGACTTGCAGCAGCCACACAAGAGCTCTACCACTGACCTCCTTCTCCAGTGCTGAGAAGCTTTAAAAACAATCAGTTCCCAGGCCTGATTCCCAGACTCCCAAAATCAGAGACTTGAGACAGGGTTGGGGGTTTCACTATTTTACAAACACCTGTGTCATCTGGTATCATTTGGGTTGTTTATCCAGAAAATGGAAAAAGAAGAGGGGTTCTCCTACACGTACAAGGAGAAAATAACATTCTGGGAAACTTATCAAAAGCAAGTCAGAATAGAAATGTTTTTCATCTCTCTTGCTTGGAATATTTGGTCAACCTGTTTTTCTTCTCACAGTCCAATTCTGAAACGGAGCCCTGACATCACCAAGTCACCTCTGACCAAGTCAGAGCAGCTGTTGAGGATTGACGACCATGACTTCAGCATGAGGCCTGGCTTCGGAGGTAGGAGAGGCACAGTCCTATGGGGATATCTTTCTTTCTTTCTTCCTTTCTTCCTTCCTTCCTTCCTTTCTTCCTTCCTTCCTTCCTTCCTTCCTTCCTTCCTTCCTTCCTTCCTTCCTTCCTTCCTTCCTTCCTTCCTTTCTTTCTTTCTTTCTTTCTTTCTTTCTTTCTTTCTTTCTTTCTTTCTTTCCTTCCCTCAGTCCCTCCCTCCCTCCCATCTTTCCTTCCTTCCTATTCTTTCCTTCCTTTCCTTGCTTTCTTTCTTAGTTTTAAACTCAAGGCCTCATACTTGCTCAGCTGGCTTGCTTGCTTGGTGCTCTACACCTTGAGCCACATCTCTAGCTCTGCTTTCTAATAGTTATGTTGGAGATGTACTCTCTTGAATTTTTCTTCCTGGGCTGGCTTTAATCTGTGATCCTCCAAATCTCAGGCTTCTGAGTAGCTAGATTCTAGGTGTGAGCTACTGGCTCAAGCCTTCTTTCTAAGGATCCTTCTGTCTGTCCATGGTCAGGAAATCAAGCCCAGGGACTTTCTGGCTTTACTGATTAGAGTTGTCCTCCTTGCCCTGGGTTCTGCTGAACACATTCTTCCGAGCACTGGTAGGTGGATGACAAGCTAGGGCAGCCAGTTGTCCTTGAAGGCACTTCTGAGAAGCTCACTCCTGGGCTGTGGGAAGACCAGGCAGCCACAGCCCAAAGCTGCCCCCTGAAAATTGTCTGAAATTCAGCCTGGCAGCCTCTCACTAAATTTGCTCTCATTTGGGAGCTTGCAGATGAACTGTGGGTACATGTGTGAGGGAAGAACACGGTCTGTGGGGTTTAATTAAATGAAAATAGCTTGAGAAAATAATGACTCAGTGCAGATGGAAGCTAAAGCCCTCTGATACCTTAGCCTGTGGCTGCTGGGTTTCAGCCTCTTAGTGTCAAATAGTTCCTTATGGGCTTTATTTTTTTCTGGAAAAAATATTTGTTTTACAAATCATTCTCATGTTTTTTTTTTTAATTTTTTTTGCCCTTGTCAGCTTTGCCCCTCAAGCAAATAAATAGGTTCTCAAAAGGAGTTTCTGTTCATTCCATAATTGGCAGCTGTTGGAGCCAAATCTCCCTTTCTACTTCATGGTGGTTGGAGTCTGTCAAGCCCAACCTACATCCTGAAAGCAGAGAGGAGCGATCAGGAATCTGTCTTCTTTATTAGAATTTCTCCCTCCACCTACACTTTTTGTTTTGTTTTGTTTTACTTGCTTATTCTAGTGTCACAGCTTGACCTGTAGCCCTTGCACTCTAGCTTAAGACTGATGCTCTACTTCTTAGCCATGCCTCTAGCCCAGAGTTTTTTCTGGTTAATGGAGTCTCATAGACTTTTTTGCCTGAACTAACTTTGAACCATGGCCCTTAGATCTCAGCCTCCTAAGAAGCAAGGATTACAGGAGTGAGCTATCGACACCAACCTAATAACGTATTTTATGGCCCAGAAATCACAACCAATCTAATGTTTTTAAGGCCTTTGTGATGCATTACATTTTCCTTAGATGTAGCAAAAATGCAGATGTGTGGATTTGATAAATGACCCTTTGGTTCTGGGTGCTATCCCCAAGCAATGCCTTTCCCATGGCCAGACAGAGAGCTACTGGCTTCCATGATAAAAGAAGGTCAAATCAAAAAGGCTGCAAGCAGGAAATAAAATGGATGTCCTCACACCAAGGAGGTAACACCTTATTCAGACCCAACCTTTGACCTAGGTCTATATCATAACTTTAGATAGTATATGGAATCAAAGAAGAATGTTCCATAGTCATATCATTTCAGAATAATCTGGATGATTCCTAACAAAAAACTTTGTTAAATTATCATTACTAGTATTATTATTAACAACAGCAACAATAATAATAATAACTTGCTGGGCTATTCCAGGCAGCCAGCCCATGAGTCCACCTCTTTTGTCTCGGGTTTCCAGAGTTCAAGTTTGCATTGACCAAAACCTTCCAATCTGACATGACTCTGAGGTATTAGGAGAAATGCCCCTTTTTCCTACCTCTTGTGTAATACAAACTCAAGTAAAAAGAATACATGCTAACATTGTGTCCGGTTCCCAGGCCCAGCCATTCCTGTTGGTGTGGATGTACAAGTGGAGAGCTTGGACAGCATCTCAGAGGTGGACATGGTGAGTGCTTCTCTGACCAGGGCTGTAGGCAGGCAGGGAGACTCACACTCACACAGCCCATCCCTCAGTAGGAAGTCTACATTCCAGAAGACACTAAATCTCACAGCTCTCCTGGGAGGTGAGAATTCCCACACTTGATTTAGAGATGGCTCTGGGAAATGTGTCACTGATCCATTGATAAGTAACAAATAGAGTCAGATGACAAACCTGATCACTCTCCACTTCCTCTGCTGCCCCCAGTACCCAGGATCGCATAGCTGGGATCCATTCTCTGCGCAAAAGCTCTCAAAGGGACACTACAGGGTAGAAAGAATGCACTCTCCTCCACCCCTTTTCTTTGATCTGCCGAGATCAAAAACAGAGCATTCCACAAAACTTAACTTACAGGACTTACTTACAGGTTTGGGTCCTCCAAGAAGCCGACCCAAGACAAGCATTCTAGCCCAGTGGTTTGTTTGGGGGGGGGGGGGGCACAATCTGGATGTGACCTAGAACAGAGTGGGCAATGAGATGGGGAAGGGAAAGAAGCAAAAAGAGCCATGCTCCCCAACCAGCCACTCCCGAACCGATGGTCCCACTGGGTTGGCCAGGGACCAACCAAGAACGAGCTCAGGAGGAGCATGAAGAAGGGGCAAGGGGGCTGGTCCGTTCACCCACCCCCTTTCCCTCTGGATGTGGGCTGCTCTCTGGCATGCACCCCCTGGAACTGTCAACTTGAGCCACAGCTGGTGGTGGCAGGAGGCTCCCAGTGCAGAGGGGAGGGGAGGGGAGGGGAGGAAGGGCCTCCTGAGAGTAATCGCCATGGGGGAGGGGGGAAGGGAGAGGCTGAGGAATCTCCTGCTGACCCTGTGGGGTTGTGAGTGTGTGTTTGGGGTTTCCTGTCTGTCTGGCCCCCAGGACTTCACGATGACCCTCTACCTGAGGCACTACTGGAAGGATGAGCGGCTGTCTTTTCCGAGCACCAACAACCTCAGCATGACATTTGATGGGAGGCTGGTGAAGAAGATCTGGGTCCCTGACATGTTTTTTGTGCATTCCAAGCGCTCCTTCATCCACGACACCACCACAGACAACGTCATGCTGCGGGTCCAGCCCGACGGGAAAGTTCTGTACAGCCTCAGGTGCGAGGAAGGGCAATCCGGCGACTTAACCAAGTATGCTGGATGCTTCCTACAAGACGGCGTGTAACACTACAGCTAAGCGCTGGCTTGCAACAACCACTGTGCTATTGGGCTCTGAACATCCAATTTCCCACCAAATTTGGTGGCATCAAGGAAAACTAACTTTACATATGAAGACTTGTTTTTTTGTTTTTGTTTTTTGGGTTTTTTTTTTTTTTGGGGGGGGGGTGTTGGTCAGTTGTGGGGCTTGAACTCTGGGCCTGGGCGCTTGTCCTGAGCTCTTCAGCTCAAGACTGGCACACTACCACTTGAGCCACAGCACCACTTCCTGCTTTCTGGTGGTGAATTGGAGATAATCTCACCGAGTTTCCTGCCCTGGCTGGCTTTGAACTGGAATCCTCAGATCTCAGCCTCCTGAGTAGCTAAGATTACAGGCATGAGCCACCAGCGCCTGGCGGGGAAGAACTTTTAAAGAGCTATTCAGTCTTGAAAGTACAGCTGGAGAAATTTCTTAAGCTGATACTTATAGTCTACCTCCTATCCTATATGTATTATTATTTATTATTTTGGTATTACTAGGGATTGAAGTTAGAAACTGGAGCATGCTAGGCAAGTGCTCAAATCAATTGATCTATGTCCCAGCCCACGTTTTACTTTATTTTATTTTATTTTTTTAATTTGGTTGGATTTGAATGGTTTTACACATGCCAGGCAAGTGCTTTGCTACTTGAACTGTGCCTCTAGTCCTTTATGCTCCAGTTATTTTGGGGAAGTGTCACTTTCCACTCAGCATAGACATTTCTTATATCTTTAATGAGTAAAATTCCTACATAAATTATTATCTCAGGGCTGGGAAGGTAGCTCAGTGGTAGAGCGCTTGCCTTGCATGCATGAGGTCCTGGGTTCAATTTCTCAGCACCACATAAGCAGAAAAAGCCAGAAGTGGTGCTGTGGCTCAAGTCATAGAGCACTAGCCTTGAGCTGAGGAGCTGAGGGACAGCGCCCAGGCCCAGAGTTCAGGCCCCACAACCAGACCCCCCCCCCCAAAAAAATTATTATCTCATGTTCGTCTTACTAACTTCAACCAACATTCATCAAATCATTTCCAATCAACTACTCAGAAAAAACCTGAAGTGGCACTGTGGCTCAAGTGGTAGAATGCTGGGAAAAAGAATCTCAAGGAGAGTGCCCAGGCCCAGAGTTCAAGCCCCAGGTCTGTCACAAAATATTAATAATAGTAACAATAACAACAATAATAATGATATATTTCAGGGGGACAATGCCGAATTTAGAAACTAGTACAGCACAATGCAGTGCACAATATTGAATGTCAATAAAAGCAGTAAAGAATGAAAGAAGTTGACTTAATCTAAAACAAGAGAACAATGTATGGTCTTAAATCTTGCTCCTTTTTTTTTGCTCTTCTCTCTCTTTTCTTTCTTCTGATACTGGGATTTGAATTCAAGGCCTGGCATATTTATCTAGCTTGCTTGCTTGCCTTGCTTGTTCAGCTAGTGCTCTATCAATTGAACCACACTTGCAACCTGGCTTTTGGTAGTTAATTAAAGATGGAGTCATGAGGACTTTTCTACCAAGGCTGACTTTGAACTGTTATCCTCCAGTTCTCAGCCTCCTGAATAGCTAGGATTACAGGTGTGAACCACCAATACCCAGGCAAGAGTTTCTTTTGAGAGACCATATTATAGATTAGGGCTTTTATTTTACATGGCTACATTGATGGACAGCATTACTTCTTTAAAATACTTCAATACGCTGAAGTTGGCAGAGATATTCTATCTGTCTCACATAGATCCTGAGGTTAATCAGAAATATCTGAGAGTAGTTCAAAGAGAGTTTCACTCACAGGCTTCTTACCTAAATTCTGGAATTACAGGAAGGAAGCAATTGTGTAGGAAGGAAGCAGAAATCTTTTTTGCTTGCCTTATCTTCCTATACTTGCCTGTAGCAGGCTCTGAGACTTGGATTTGTGTTTCTATTTCTAGGGTAACTGTGACTGCAATGTGCAACATGGACTTCAGCCGCTTTCCCCTGGACACACAAACGTGCTCACTCGAGATCGAAAGCTGTGAGTAGTCTGGTGCCCTACCATGCAATTCCAAACGCCTCCATCTCTCAGTAGCAGGAACAGTAGAATTTGTTCATTTGTGGCTGTGCTTTTAAAAGTGATTGTGGAGATGGAAACCAAATAAGGGTAATTTTAAAATTCAGGAATAAATTTAGACTAAAATCTGTTCCTATAAGGGATCTTTTTCATTCCTGTAGTAATGGTTGGAAACACTGTTCTGTATATCTAAGAATTTTCACAGAGATTCCTAGGCCAAAGCTGCTTGGGGAGGGGAAGTAGAAAGCCTTTGGCCTAATGTGTACCCGTGTCCATATTCCCACGTAGACAAATCATCCAGAGAGCTTTTATTTTTTTCTACTAAGTACCATTCCTACTGAAAAAAAATTCTTGGCAACATGAAATTTGGCAACATTTATCCTGTGGAACTGCCACTTCTAGTTTATGTGATTGTTGAGATTCTTATGTACCACCAACTGGAAAGTTAAAATGAGAACACAGGCTCAACCATCAAAGGAAAAAACAGGCAAATTAGACTTCATGAAAATATAAAAATTTAGTACACCAAAGGATAGCACCAACAATATGGGAGAAAATGTTTACAAACCATATATAGTAACAGAACATAAAGAGAACTCTTTTTTTTTTGGGGGGGGGTCCGGTGATGGGGCCTGAACTCTGGGCCTGGGCACTGTCCCTCAGCAATTCAGCTCAAGGATAGCACTCTACCACTTGAGCCACAGCTCCACTTCCGGCTTTTATTTTCTTTTTGCTTATGTGGTGCTGAGGAATCGAACCCAGGGCCTCATGCATGCAAGGCAAGCACTCTACCACTGAGCCACCTTCCCAGCTCCACATAAAGAGAACTCTTAAACAGCATCAAAACAACCTACTAAAGAAGTGGCAAAGGACTTGAATCAATATTTTTCAGAAGAAGATGTGCAACTGGCTAAGGTTCACATAAGAACATGCTCAACATCACTAACCCTGGTCTGTGAGCATGGCTCAAGTGGTAGAACACTTGCTAGCATGCTGAGACCCTGGGTTCAATCCCTGACCACATACACATGCATGCACACACATACACACTTGCACACACACACACACACACACACACACCATTAATCCTTAGAAAAATGCAAATTAAAACTACAGTGAGTTCCCATGGCTACTATCAGACAGCCAGGAGCCAGTGCTGGTGAAAACATGGACAGCTAAAACTTTGTGCACTGTGGATTGAAAGGAATGTGATGTCACTGTTATTATATTCAAAATAAAATTACCATGTGATAACTTTGGACCTATACCTACACATATTAAGAGTATTAACAAGGTATTTATACAACTATATTCATAGTAACACGATTCACAACAGCTAAAATTGCAGTAGTGTTCACTGATCGATGACTAGACAAGTAAAATATGCTATACACAATGGAATATCATTTTCTTTTAAAAGCAAGAGAATTCTGTCACAAGCTACCATCTGGTTAAACCTTGAGGACATTGTGATGGGTAAAATAAGGCAAACACAAACACAAACACACAAATACCATATGCTTCTACTTAGAAATCACAGACAGAAAGTAGGATAGTAGTTGTAGGTGTAGGGCGTAAGGAAAGACTGGGACAGTGAAAAGAATTCTGATGGTGACAGTCGCAAAACATAGATTTGATACCGCTGAATGCTGGAAAGTAAGTAGGACAGCAGTTTTGAAGGTGCGTGTATTTTACGACAATAAAACAACAGCACATATCCAAACTAGACCTTAGAAAGAGCCAGGCAGAGGCAGAGTACCCAAGCTAGCTGCTCCATCCTTCATTCCCCAGTATCTGCTCCCTTCTCCTCTGTCTGCCTGAGCACTGCTTCTGACAGGCATAGTCTGGACTCTCCTTGGCTCCAGTTTGCCCCACGATCCCTGGCCTTGGCAGTACTTGTGGTATCAGAGGATTAATATTCACGGTCATTGATTTAGAGCACTTTTGTAAGCCAGCATAGCAGTGGATGGCCCCTAGCTCCAGACATCTGGGACCAGACAGTGTTTGGATGCCAACCAACACCACACATAGCAGGGGCCGAATGGTCAGCTATGTAGGCCACTGGATGTAGGGCAAGGGTGTGGAACACCCAGGACCAATGAGCCAGGACGAGTTACTGTTTGAGGCTTTGCTTCTGTGTTGTTACCTTCCCTTCATAAGATCCCCTTGAGAAGATTATAATCCCCCTTCAAAAGAATGTCAGCCCTTGTCTCAGACACCTGAGTGGTTGAGCCATGATGAAATACCAAGTTTATTGGCAATAGTCTTGTTTTTCCCCACAACAAGGGAGCTTCTGCCCCCATCTGTAACAGAGCTTCTTCAGGTTGAGGCAGCCAGGGTTCTACACAGAGATAGAAACAGTAGACTGTACATAACAAGAGATACACTACAAAACACTGGCTTGTGCGATAGGGGGTTGTCTGCAGCACAATCAGCAGGGCAGACTGGGAACAATCCACACGTGCAAGTTGTGCCAGGAAGTCTCCATTCTGCTCTCAAGGCCTTTTACTTAAATCCAGTTGTGAATACTAATCATGAATACCACAAAATACATTCACAGACTTCTGTGAAGTCATAACAGCAGGGTACCATAGCCAAGCTGGTCTGAGGAGTGTACTATCCCTCACACAGGTGAAGGGCTAGGGAGTCACACAAAAGATGGTTTACAGGGGGGAGACAAGGACTGGCAACCCCAATAGGTTTCACTTCAGTTACAGCCAGGCAATTGGAGAGTTTGTGTAACTGGACTGTGAAATAGTAAAATGGGGTGGGGGGCAGTTATGATACCAAACAGTGCTAATCATGGAATCAGATTGACTTTATTCTGGGTAGGCACAATTGGAGACCTGAAAAAAGGTCTTTTCTGCTCACATTTCTTCATGGATTCTTTTTACTACAATGTAGTCCATATCATCTGATAGTGGGTAAAGGCATTTGCTATCAATCAGAGAATCATTATACTTAGAAAGAAGAAAAAAATGAGGAAAATGAGCTGGAGGCCTGTAGTTTGCATCTATCATCATAGCTGTCCAGGAGGTTTTGATCTGGAGGATCACAACTTGAGGCCAATCCATGCAGACAAATTCACTAGACTCCATCTCCAAAATGGTAGCAGCAAAAAGCAAGGCTGGAAATAAGGCTCACATGGAAGCATGACGCCTTGAGTTTAAATTCCAGTACTGCCCTCCCTCTCCAAGAAAAAAAAAGGAAGAAAAAAGAAAGGAAATGTGCAGAAAGGTTTATAAGATAGAATCATGTGACATCTTCTAGTATTTCACCATTTCTGACCAACAAAATAGCCATATCAAGGCTAGGATTGTATCTAGAGCTTGCTTAGCATCCACAAGGCCTGTGTTTGATGGTACTCATGAGATAAAGGAGAAAAACCATTTGGTTTAACTTAGCAAAGACAAGCTGGATTGTGGATAAGCCTTTTCACTTGGGCGTTTGCTCAGATGGCTTTTGGACGACTGGGGAGAACAAGATTTGTCTTTCTGCGATTGGTTTTGCTCTGTTTCAATGGCAGTTTATTTACGTACACTATGTTAACACAATTCCGGTGGTTTGAGTGGGAGATTAGGAAACATAGGTCCCACATTGCCCCCAGACAGGTCTGTCTTCCTCATCTTGGGTCTGATGCTGCCTCTCATTCTTCCAGATGCCTACACAGAAGACGACCTCATGCTCTACTGGAAAAAAGGCAATGACTCCTTAAAGACAGATGAGCGGATCTCACTCTCTCAGTTCCTCATTCAAGAATTTCACACCACCACCAAACTAGCATTCTATAGCAGCACAGGTGAGGCTGGGGTGTGGCTGTGTTACATAGCTTGCACCATAGCTGTGGCGGTCCATCCCCTATTAGGAAAGATATGACGTGGTTGTTAATGAGCAGAGCCTCAATCGCCTGCATTTTAAACCAAAGATGGAGTCCCCAGTGAAATCGAGTGGGATACAAGCATTAGTGGAAGTGGTGGGATGGTTTATTGTTGTTGTTGCTGTTGTTTTGTTGCTGTTGCTTTTTGCCTCAAGAGTCTAGATTTCTAACAAGCTCCCAGGTAGCAGTGAGGCTGCTGAGCTCTAGACTGTATTTTGACTAACAAGAGTTCAATATTCTGGATACAGCCCTGATGCCGTGCAATAGATGAGTGGATCAAAGAAAAAAGTGGTACCTATCACAGTGGATTTTACAAAGCCATTAGAAAGAATAGTATTATGTCATTTGTAGTGAAATGGGTGGGCCTAGTACAAGTTAATCCAAACTCAGAGACATAAACAGCACATGTTTTCTCTTATATGTGGAAACTAGATCTAAAATACACTGGGACAGGATAAATTACATAGGACTCTAGGGTTACACACAGTGAGACCAAAAGAGGAAACCAAAGGCTCAATACCTATGTATATCTTATCACATATATAATATTTATTTGAAATGAACTCCAGGAGGTGGAAACAGAGGGGGTTTTTCTTCCAAAAGGTTTAAATAATCTTTATTAGGGGTTCACTTTGTGTTTAGGAGGATGGCCAAAAATTTTTTAAGATGGATTCCCTCAGGTGGTGTGAGTTACTATACCTTTCTGTCCCTTATTTTCCACTTCTACTCTGCTAATGTCATAGTATAGTTCCAGTGGACTCTCTAAGGCATTTTTGAGTCCCTGAATAAAACCTGTTTTATGAAAGATGAGAAGAACACTGTCTTTTCTTTCTCTATTCCCCAGGCTGGTACAACCGTCTGTACATCAATTTCACATTGCGCCGCCACATCTTCTTCTTCTTGCTCCAAACCTATTTTCCTGCCACCCTGATGGTCATGCTGTCCTGGGTGTCCTTCTGGATCGACCGCAGAGCTGTGCCAGCCAGAGTCCCCTTAGGTAAGGGACATTTCAAGTTCAAGTGCACAGTCCAAGCATTGGAAAACATAAGTAATTTCTTCCACATAGAAATCATTCTTTTAGCTGGGTGTCTGTGGATCACGCCGGTAATCCTAGCTACTCAGGAGGCTGAGATCTGAGGATTTCGGTTCAAAGCCAGCCTGGGCAGGAAAGTCTGTAAGAGTCTTATCTCTAATAAACCACCAGAAAATCCCGTGGCACTGTGGTAGAGCGCTAGCCTTGAGCTGAAGAGCTGAGGGACAGCATCCAGGCCCAGAGTTCAAGCCCGACAAAAGAAAGAAAGAAAGAAAGAAAGAAAGAAGAAGAAAGAAAGAAAGAAAAGGAAGAAAGAAAGAAAGAAAGAAAGAAAGAAAGAAAGAAAGAAGAAAGAAAGAAAGAAAGAAAGAAAGAAAGAAAGAAAGAAAGAATCATTCTTTTACAATTGGTCTTTTTGGCATTCTAATTTGAAAATATTCCAGGGTATTGATTCCCAGGGAAAATCCCATAATGAAGACTCTGTATAAGAGAACAGTTTCTCAATATCCATCTAGACACCCCACCTTTAGTTTAGTTGGAACCACATCCTGGGGTACAGAACCTGCCCTTTGGGTGCTTTCTCTGCCCATTTGTAGAATGCATCATATTATATAACAAGGCTTCTTCTCAAAAGGTAGGCCAAGAGATTTCCCTGAGGGAAATTTTTTTTAAAGATGTCTCTGGCCTCATCATATCTGTAGAAGAATTGGAATGGCCAAGGGCCAAGAATGTGTGTGTGTGTGGGGGGGGGGGGTGGTATTTTATTTTGATCATGGGGCTTGAACTTGGGACCTGGGCACTGTCCCTGACAGTGACAAGCACTTCTAAGAAACTACTTTTTTTTTTCTGGCAAGCCCTGGAACTTGAACTCAGGGCCTGGGCTTCTTTTTTGCTCAAGGCTAGCGTTCTACCACTTCAGCCACTGTCCCACTTTTAGCTTTTTCTATGTATGTGGTACTGAAGCCTTCATGAGGTACCCAGGGCTTCATGCATGCTAGCAAGCATTCTATCACTAAGCCATATTCTCAGCTCCTATAAGAAACTACATTTTAACAAGCAATCCCATTAATTTTTTGGTAAGAACCAAGAATGGCTGCTTGCCATTAACTATATCTTATTTATTTGTACAAAGTACCATTGCTCAGACAAGTCAGGGCCTGCAAGAGAGTATGTGACCCATCAGGTTTTAGTGAAAATGGATTGGATCTACCCCTGAAGGTGACCCCAATCCCCTGTGATTTGATGTTGGCCAAGCAAATGTTCTGAGCTTAATTTGAAATTCTGGGCAAATTTCCACAGACAGATGCCCTGTCTTCTAATAGGTATTCTGCAGCTTGAACAGCTAGTGTGCCAATTAAGTATGCATTCTGGTTTGAAAATCTCTCTACCACAAATGATGTTAACACTATCATCCTTGGTAAAATTGTGGAGTGGCTCTAGGGATGCCTGCCAGGTAATAAAAGTAAGTCAGAACTACAAGACTCTACAGCAGCAGTCTCAAGACTAACTGAATCAAAGCCAAGCATCCATGGTTCATGCTTATAACCCTAATTAATTCAGGAAGCTAAGATCTGAGGATCAAGGTTCAAAGCCAGCCCAAGCAAGAAAGTCCTTGAGACTATTAGCTCTAGTTAATCAGCAAAACATCAGAAGTGGAGCTGTGGCTCAAGTAGTAAAGTGCTAGCCTTGAGCTAAAAGGCTCAGTGACAGTACCCAGGCCCTGGGTTCAAGCCCCAGAACAGGCACCAAAAAAAAAAAAAAAGAAAAAGAATTGAAAGAAATGATGATGCTTACCCATGTAATTGTAACTCCTCTGTACAGTGTTTTCACATTAAAAAAAGAAAAAAGAAAAGAAATGCTGCTGCTGCAATGTGTGAGATTCCCTGAGAGGGATAAAGCAATCCAATGATAGGATGAGTCTACAGAGAAGAAAATGTGTACATGATGAGAGAGGACCCTAAAAAAAGCTTTGTAAAAGCTAAATCTTTTCACCAAGCACTGATGTCTATATATTCATGCCTATAATCCTAACTACTAAAGAGGATGAACTCTGAGGATCACAGTTTAAAGCCAGACAGGACAAAGAAATCCAAGAGATATTCCCAAAAAGCCAGACTAGAGGTATGGTCAAGTGGTAGAGCAGCAGCCTTTAGTGAAAAAGCTAAGGGACAGTGCTCAGGCCCTGAATTCAAGCCCCAGTACTTGCTTGAACTAAAAACAAACAAAAAAACATGCTAAAACTTGAAAGTTGAGTAGGTGTTTGCTAGACAGAGGGGAGGGAGGGAGACCTTCGAATACCAGACAGCCAGACACAACACCATCCATATTATACGTAGTAAACCAAGCACATGTTTTCATTGCTCTCAATGTTTGTTGTAGGCATCACAACGGTGCTGACCATGTCCACCATCATCACAGGAGTGAATGCCTCCATGCCCCGTGTGTCCTACATCAAGGCCGTGGACATCTACCTGTGGGTCAGCTTTGTGTTTGTGTTCCTCTCAGTGCTAGAATATGCAGCTGTCAACTACTTGACCACCGTGCAGGAGCGGAAGGAACGGAAGCTGCGGGAGAAGGTAACATAAAGCGTCAGGTGCTGGGACTGTGGGCAGGTCTCCTTTCTGTAAAATAGGGCCATCATACCACCTCCTTTACCTACTTCTTGTGAAGAGCAAACAGAACGATGTATGATGTAACGTATGAAATTTACTATATATATTTCACCTACTCTGAACTAAATTTAAATAAGATATAGTTCCTTTTGATAGTGTGAAAATTTAGTGAAAAAAATACCAGGAAGGGGAAAGGGGAAGAGACAATTTAACATTGTAGAACAAGTTACTGACAAATATAGAGATGCAATGAAAGAATCCACCAGGAACAAATTCACCTTATCCCAGGGAGTTTTCCTTCATATGTGCTCTCAGCTGTCAGCATTTCTCAGGTTATCTTTTTTCTTGGAGCTTGAACTCAGCCTAGGCCTGGTCCCTGAGCTCTTCAGCTCAAGGTGAGTGCTCTACCACTTGAGCCACAGTGCCACTTCCAGTTTTCTGGTGGTGAATTGGAGATAAGAGTCTCATGGACTCTCCTGCTCAGGCTGGATTTGAACCATGATCCTCAGATCTCAGCCTTCTGAGTAGCTAGGATTACAGGAATGAGTCACCGGTGCCCGGCTTCTGAGATTATCTTTTTTTTTTTTTGGTCCGGTCATGGGGCCTAAACTCTGGGCCTGGGCGCTGTCCCTCAGCTCTTCAGCTCAAGGCTAGCGCTCTACCACTTGAGCCACTTCCGGCTTTTTTTCTTTTTGCTTATGTGGTACTGAGGAATCAAACCCAGGGCCTCGTGCATGCAAGGCAAGCACTCTACCACTGAGACACCTTCCCAGCCCTGAGATTATGTTTACCTTTTCTTTCTCCCTCCAGTCTGCAACTCCTTGGAGATGGTAATCTCCTCTAGATTGTAAATATTGGCTAGATATTGGTACAGTAGCATGTGAGATACCAGATTACAGAATTTATATTTGTTGGTAGGTTTGGCTTTGGTAAAGCTAGTTAGAGATACTTTTTCATTAAAAACATAAAATCTAGGAAGTGGTGCTGTGGCTCAAAGTGGTAGAGCACTAGTCTTGAGCAAAAGAGCTTCAGGACAATGCCCAGGCCCTGAGTTCAAGCCCCACAACTGACAAAAAATGAATAAAAATAAAATCTAACCACATAGTAGTAATCTATTCTTCAAACAGCCACCTTTCAAACTCCCACTCACAATAATGTGATCTGTACATATTTTTGCCAAGGGCTTGGTGCCAGACATGGTGGTATACACAGTAAAGACAGCACTTGGGATGCAAAGCTTCAGATGGCAAGGGAGTCTAGCTTGAGCTACACTGCAAGACTTTGTCTCAAGAAAAAGATGGCAGGGGAAACTAGGGTGGATGTCAGTGGTAGAGTATGTATTTAGCATGCAGAAGGCCTTGGGTTCAATCCCCAGTACTTCATGAGAAAAAAAAAAAAAGGAAAAGCCAGGTCCCAGTGGCTCACGCCTGTAATCCTAGCAACTCTGGAGACTGAGATCTGAGGATTATGGTTCAAAGCCAGCCTGGGCAAGAAAGTCCTTGAGACTCCTATCTCCAATAAACCACCAGAAAAATGGAAGTGGTGCTGTGACTCAAGTGGTAGAGTGCTGGCCTTGAACTGAAGAGCTGAGGGACAGTGCCCAGGCCCAGAGTTCAACAACAACAAAAAGGAAAGACAGAAAGGAAAGGAAAAGGGGGAGAAAAAGGGGGAGAAAAACAAGGAAGGAAAACACAAACAATCCTTCACTGGCCTAAGCAAGTATCAGATCCTAAGTTCAATCTTTAGTAGTGCCCTCCTCCTTTAGGTATTTGTGATCTTATGCCATTGTACAATTTGTTTCTTGTGAGTCAATAGAGTCTTTAGTTGAATAAAAATTGGATCTACTATTTTAGAGAGAGAGAGAGAGAGAGAGTGTGTGTGTGTGTGTGTGTGTGTGTGTGTGTGTGTGTGTGTTGCTGGAGAACAAACCATGGACCTTATAGGTGGTTGCTAGGCCAGCTGTCTGGCAGAGTAACTGTCCGTAATGACACTGTGATCATTTTTCCTTGGTTACTAAACCACAAAAAAGGCAGTCCAAAACACACACTTTCTCTCTCTCTCTCTCTCTCTCTCTCTCTCTCTCTCTCTCTCTCTCTCTCTCTCTAAAATAGTAGATCCAATTTTTATTCACACACACACACACACACGAGATACCATGCTTCTGCAGGCTTCTGAATGATGGATAGCACTGAGCTCACATGGGGTGTATGCTTGCTGTGTTTGCAGCTCCCCTGCACCTGTGGGCTACCACAGGCCCGTGCAGTGATGCTGGACGGCAGCTACAGCGATGGCGAGGTGAATGACCTGGGAAGCTACATGCCTGAGAATGGAGAGAAGCCTGACCGGATGATGGTGCAGCTGACCCTGGCCTCAGAGAGAAGCTCCCCACAGAGGAAAAGCTCAAGAAACAGCTACGTGAGCATGAGGATCAACACCCATGCCATTGATAAATACTCCAGGATCATTTTTCCAGCGGCGTACATTTTATTCAATTTAATATACTGGTCTGTTTTCTCATAGATGCCTGTAATTCTGAAGTCTCCTATTCTTCCTGGTATGTACCAGAGAAATTACCTGTAGGAAGAGGAAGAAAAAATGGTTTTAAAAAAATAACCCTATACCCTCCTGTATTTTTATTATCTCTTGTCTAGGTTTCCAAAGTGGCACTGACAAGACACTTTTTTGTGTATTGAGCACCTATTGTATCTATAGCATTATACTAGGTGCTTCAGGAATATGTTACTATAGCAACCAATGCTGTTATTCAGATGTCCCCAGGGAAGAGCAGAATAACTGGGCTGTGGGTGCATTTGTTGTCCAACCTCTTTTAGATCTCATATGCTTATTCACCTTAATGAATAATGAGTGTCTTTATAGTCTCTGAACCAGATGAAACTGGGCAGTCCCTAACGCTCATCTTCATGAAATCAGCATGGCCCTACATTTTCACCAATAATGTGCATACGGTTTTATTTGCAAGCTGCAATTCAAAGGTTTCACCTCTCATAAGAGAAGCTCTTTCAATTGGTGAAATCTCTTCTGACTTTGCCAGATATTTCTTTCTGGTAGTGAAACTTTGAAGACAGGATACATGTCTACATTTTGTCAGTTTTGTTATAGAGATGACTAGCCTACAAAACTGTGTTTAAGTCTTCCATGTTTTATCGTCATGACTTCATCTATCTCTCTCTTGGAGCAGGTCTTCATTCAAAATGACATGCTTTTTTCAGTAAGGTAATTTTATCACTGAGCAATTTAGGAAAAGCCTAATTTGTTCTGCATGACCATTTCAAGAAAATGTATAAACTGGGACTCCCTTTGAAATTTGTGAGTATAAGAAACATTCACAAAGTTCATTAAGAGAACAAAAACATCAAAAAGCAAAAGAAACAGGAAGCCATCACTGGACATCTGTCTGCATTTGTCCTCACTGAACCAAAAAACAGGTTCTCCTCCAGATTTTGAAGCCCCTGTGCCAGGCAGGAGATGCCCAGTGGCAATTGATTGTCAGGGCATGCATGGGTTTGAATGTGATGTATTATTTTAGAACAGAGATGTTAATGCTGTGTATTTATAAACTATATAGATCAATTCCAACCAAACTGACCCAAACAACATTTGTCATACTTGAAATTTACTTTATTAAACAGAATTCTATACACAAAAATGTCTGTTTCATTTCAAAGTTAACTTGACTGATCATCAATACTAAAATCATGAGAAAAATACCTGTAAACATAAATCCTAATTACAAGGCAAATTCCCTTTTTTTCTAGTAAAGACTCATCAAAATAAGTTTGTTTTGTTATTTTTCATTTTTAGTCAACTCCAATAGTAAACTTAACAGCAAAATGCCTGAGATGGTCAATTTAATAAAAATAAAGGTTTATTTTAGCTCATTGTCTCTATCTAAGATGGCTTGGCCCTCTCATTTTGGCTTGTGAACCCAACCTGTGACTTCGACCAGCATGTGGAGGTATTCAGGAAACAAAAGGACAGGCAGAAAAGGACCTTAAAAAACATGACTCTCAGTAACAACTTCTTCTACATGGGCCCTACTTCTTAAAAGTTTCCACCATCGTGCAATGGTGCCACTGGCTGATGATCACATGAACTTTTAATGCCTACTCTACACTCAAAACAGCAAATTTTTATTAATCAAATTAGCCTTATTGTCTTTTTAGGGTAAGAAATTTGGGCTTTGTAGACTAATTTCTTAGCTTTTATAAATCGTTTGTTGTTGCTGTTTTGTTGATCATGAGGCTTAAACTCTAGGCCTGGGTGCTGTCCCTCAGCTCTTCATCTCAAGGCTAGTGCTCTACCACTTGAGCCATAACACCACTTCCGGCTTTTTCTGTGATTGTGGTGCTGAGGAATCGAACTCAGGGCCTCATGCTTGCGAGGCAAGCGCTCTACCACTGAGCCACCTTCCCAGCCCAGCTTTTGTAATTTTTTTTCTACTAGATCATTTGAATCCTTTTTTTGTCCAATCTTAACTCTCTGGAACAAAGATATCACACTTAAGCCAAAAGTTAGAAAGTGGCAGAAGGGTGCTGGGTATGGTTGGACAGGCCTGCAATCCCAGCACTAAGGATGCTGAGAAGGATCATGAATTAAAGGGCTAGCTTGGTTACATTACATTAACCTAACCCCCCAGCTATCATTTAAAAAAGAAAAACGAAAAAAGTGAGCTGGGCACTGGTGGCTCACCTAGCTACTCAGGAGGTTGAGATCCTCAGATCATGGTTCAAAGAAAAGTCTGGGAGTCTCCTATCTCCAATAAACTACTCAGAAAAAGCCGGAAGTGGCCTGTGGCTTATGGACAGTGCCCAGGCCCAGAGTTCAAGCCCCAGACCAGGATAAAAAAGAAAAAAAAAAAAAAAAAGAGTGGCTGCCGGGTGCTGGTGGCTTACACCTACAATCCTAGCTACTCAGGAGGCTGAACATCTGAGGAAGAAAGCTGGTCTGAGCAAGAAAATCTGTGAGTCTCTTATTAACTACCAAAACAAGCCAAAAGTGGAGCTGTGGCTCCAGTGGTAGAGCACTAGCCTTGAGCTGAAAAAACCTCATGGCTTCAGATTAAAGCTCAGAAGGGGAAGTGGGGATGGGGAGGGTGGGATGGGGGAGCACAGGAGGTAGAGAGCAGGTCAGTGGCAATCTCAGAAATTGGGGAACATAAATTCAAATTTTCTTTGCAGAAAATACCTAGAGATAAAAAGCCAAGAGAATCAAAGCTACAGTATCCTTGGCACCTAGGGCTCTGGCACTCTGGCATACATGCTCTCTCTGTCTCTCTCTCTCACACACACACACACACACACACACCTCTTAAAAATGACACCATCTTCCTAGGGTGGATTTTGTGACCTGGGATGTACCAAACTGTGGCTACAGCATTATGGCTGAAAAATACTTTCATAGAATAGTACTGCGTAGCTGTCAGAGGGGAGTAGAGTGTGGATGCAAAAGCTTTAGATTGTGACTGAACCTGAAGTTCATTCCTTCAACAGTGGCACTCCTCAGTGAACACACTTGAGATTCTCATATCCTACATATTAGAGGAATGTGTTAGTTCAGATGGCATGCCACAAGGTTCCTGTTTAGTCTTGAATTGGTGTCATTTACGGGCACTTAATTATTCATGGATTGAGGAATTTAAGCATATCTTGAATAAAGCGGAAAAATGTGAGGTTTTGGTTGCTTTTAATTCTCCTCATCTGAACAAAACAGTCAGGCAGGCATGGTGGTTTATGCCTGTAATCCCAGCACTCAGGAGGTGCAGGCAGAGGATCGTGAGTTTGAAGCCAGCCTAAGCTACATAGCCACTGCCTCCAAACAAACAAACAAACAAAAAAACCAACTAAATACAACCTTTAAAAGTAGCTTAAGCCAGGCACCAGTGGCTCATGGCTGTAATCCTATCTACTCAAGAGGCTGAGGTCTGAGGATCTGAGGTTTGAAACCAGCCCAGACAGGGAAGTCTATGGGACTCCTTAATTAAACACTAAAAAGCTGGCATTGGAGCTGTGGCTCAAGTACTAAGAATGCTAGCCTTAGGGACAATGCCCAGGCCCTGAGTTCAAGCTTCAGGACTAGCACCAAAGTAACTTGTTTGGCCTCTGAAAATTCAAATTTAATACTCTAACTATCTAACATTTATCATCGAAGACTGTCATTTTTCAGCTTCTGAGCCAAATAAAAAAATGTTTAAAAGGACTTTTTTTTGTCGGTTGTGGGGCTTGAACTCTGGGCCTGAGCACTGTCCCTCAGCTCTTCAGCTCAAGGCGAGCGTTCTACATGAATCACAATCCTCAGATCTCAGCCTCCTGCATAGCTAAGATTACAGGCATGAGCCACTGGTACCTGGCAGTACTTAATTATTCTTTTTAAAAAAAAATCTTGAAAGCCAAATTCTTATCTCCAATTCACCACCAGAAAACCGGAAGTGGTGCTGTGGCTCAAGTGGTAGAGTGCCCACCTTGAGCTGAAGAGCTCAGGGACAGCGCCCAGGCCCAGAGTTCAAGCCCTACGACCAACAACAACAAAAAATCTTGGAAGTCAAGCTGTGGCTTCAAAGTGGTACAACACTAGTCTTGAGCAAAAGAGCTCAGAGATAGTGCCCAAGCCCTGTGTTCAAGCCCCACGACCAACAACAAAAATCTCATCATAGGAAAAATATATGGCATTTATATAGCAAGCCAACAGCTACAATCCTGATGGGTACCTGGGCTTTATCTTCATGTATTTTTATGTTTCATTTAAAAATAAGGCAACTGTTATTAAACACACAGATGAACATTTTAAGTTTTTCACACTTTAATATGTATCTATAAAGATATTACAAAAAATTATTATAATTTGATGGTAGCAGAGACTGCTTACTCAAAGGTATTAACTTACATATCAAAATTCATCACTCAGGTACATAATTGGGCTATAAAATGCTTGCTTCAATAAGTACAAAAATAAGGAGTTCATCACACTTCACAGCCTTATGAAGGTGCTAGCTGGCACACAGGTAACACTTACAATGAAAATTTGATATTTTGAAGGTTAACCTATGTAGGACACAGACATAGATTATGTAGAATATCTACATTAGAAATTTACGCTACAATTTATGTCAGAAACAGACTATATAGGACATTCATGTTAGAAACACATAAAACAAAAAAACTATTATAAATGAAGCGGAATCTTAACAAAAAAAACTTCATATCAGTTTCTTCTGTTGAAACAGACTAAAGTGAATCAAGTATTTTAAAACATTTTAGGGGGGCTGGGAAGGTGGCTCAGTGGTAGAGTGCTTGCCTTGCATGCCTGAGGTCCTGGGTTCAATTCCTCAGCACCACATAAGAAAAAAGCCAGAAGTGGCGCTGTGGCTCAAGTGGTAGAGTGCTAGCCTTGAGCTGAAGAGCTGAGGAACAGCGTCCAGCCCAGAGTTCAGGCCCCATGACCGGACCCAAAAAATAAATAAATAAAAATAAAACATTTTAGAAGACTTTATCAGTTGTAAGATGGTAGCTAGCTTTCAGCTGTTTTCTGGGTTCTGATGTGGTTGAGAGGAACTGGGTCCTGTGGGAACTCATCACCTGTTATTTGGGTGCTGAGAAATATACTCCTCAGCAAATGTCATCCAACTCAAAACATGGTATTGTAACAGTGAAAACAGCAACAGAACTATAAAAAACACATTTGTGAGACTGTAGGAAATCACATGCCTTAAGTGTACACAAGTATTCATAAAAATATGAAATGTTTGGGTTTATCCTAAGTTTCCTATCTTATGAGAGCTACAAAGAGTTGTTAAAAGGGAAAAGTTTCCTGAAGAGCTCACATAAAGAGAACGTAAGACTAACAAGTAGTCCAAAAGTTTTAAAGGTAAGCTAAATATCACTGTACACACTTACATAGCATGTAGCAACTTAGTAGTTAATAGTAAGGGTTGAACAATCCAAAGCTGAAATCCAAAATATTGTGACATGACACAAATGGAAGAGTTCATATGCCTGACCCCATGTGACAATCTACACTTAGGTACACTAAAAACACTGTAGGGGGCTGGGAAGGTAGCTCAGTGGTAGAGCGCTTGCCTTGCATGCCTGAGGCCCTGGGTTCAATTCCTCAGCACCACATAAGCAAAAAGAAAAAAAGCCGGAAGTGGCGCTGTGGCTCAAGTGGTAGAGCGCTAAGCCTTGAGCTGAAGAGCTGAGTGACAGGGCCCAGGCCAAAGAGTTCAGGCCCCCCACCCCAAAAAAAATAAATAAAATAAAAAAATAATAAAAACACTAGAAAATTATCTCCAGGGTTGGTATACAAAGTGCAAATGAAAGATAAAGGAAAATGTTGGTTAAATCTAGGTTCTGTCCATAAGATATGCAAATTATTTTTTTAAATCCCAAACCAGAAATATTTCTGGGCCCAAGCATATCAGGCCTTTAACACAGGACTGTTTTATGCAGGTCTCATAGTCAAGCCTGCTTAAAATTAGCATGAGAAAAAACAACTATCTTTAGATTATACTTGTTAATATCTTTAACACAAATGTAATATTTGAGGAAGTTGTTACTAAGTACATAAAGGTGTGAAAAGCACATAATAAAAGCTTTCCTCAAGCAGGGCTACCTACACCACTAGTTACATAAGAATCTAATTCACCACATTAAAATCTTATCATCTTAAACTTTGAGCGCTTGTTTGGTGGTTCTAGCAGAGGAGCGCAGCTACTCAGATACCTTTAACCGAAGACCAGGCTTCTTCGATTGAGGACAGCCGTCTTCTTCAATTGAACGTGAGGCTTTGGGAGAAAGGGGTCACCCACCTGGCCAGCCAGATTAGCCAAATCCACCCTGGTGATCAAATGAGTTTAACAAATGTTGTAGCCAGATCACCCTCATATCTATCATTTTAAAGTTTGCACTGAAGTCAGCAAAGGCTTAAAAAAAAAAAGTCTGCTGTTCTTGTACCTGAAGCAAAGTATCCCTTTTCTATTGCAAGTTGTACAAGAGATAGATATAACTACAAATTTTTTTTGAATTTGTGATCACGATCTATCCACAAAGCTATCTTAAACTTTGATGATTCAAGCAAGTAAGCCGTATTTACTAAAAAAGTACTGCACAGCCACAGATAAGCTAATATTCTAGATACCTGAAACACCCATATATGGGTTGTGTGGTGTCAGTGCTGGGGACTGAACTCAGAGCCTGGACACCTTCCTGAGCTTTTATTGCTCAAGGCTAGCACTCTATCTACCACTTAAGCAACAGTTCCACTTCTGGCTTTTTTGGTTTTTAACTGGAGTTAAGATTCTCAGATTTTACTGCCCTGGCTGGCTTTGAATGGTGATCCTCAGATCCCATCCTCCCAAGCTGCTAGGAATATAGGCATGAGCCACCAGCACCCAGCTCATAAGTGTGCATTTTATAAACACTGATTTCAAATATATAGTCTAGTATGAGTCATGGGAGCAGGGGAATAGATATAGATATAAAATCACAGAATCTATTGACAATAAAAAAAATCATCAAACATACCAGAAGAAAAACTTAAGTTGGGGCTGGGAAGATGGCTCAGTGGTAGAGTGCTTGCCTTGCATGCATCAGGCCCTGGGTTCGATTCCTCAGCACCACATAAGCAAAAAGAAAAAAACCAGAGGTGGCGCTGTGGCTCAAGTGGTAGAACGCTAGCCTTGAGCTGAAGAGCTAAGGGATAGTGCCCAGGCCCGGAGTTCAGGCCCCATGACTGGACCAAAAAAAAAAGAAAAGAAAAGAAAAACTTAAGTTGTATCCTTCAAAAATAATACATAAAATCCTAAAATTAGAAGTCTTCCTGGTCTGTCAACTTTCTAAAAACAAGCATCCATCTTTTAAGAATGAAGAGCTACATCTGAGAACAATGGTACGAGTTTGTAATCCAGTCTATGGGGGAAGCTGAGGCAAGAGGATGGAGAATTTAAGGTTAGTCTGGGCAACATAGCAAGGCACCATCTAAACAAACAAGCAATATATATTTAAATATAAACATATAATATATATGCATAAATAGAATCCTTATCTAAAAGGTTACAATGTTAACATAATCAGGCACTTCCTTCCTTTCTCTTTCTATTCCCAAATCCTTCAGCTCACAATTCAAACACTAACCAAGAATGATAATCTAAGCTAAGTCACTATAATAAATTTAGTACAGCCATTCAGGAAAACTTCTGAAGTATGAGGGTGAGCTACAATAAAGACCGGCTTGAGTTGGTTCCTTCAGACATAGTAACTGACTCCTTATTTATGCACTTACTTACACTATTGTGATAAAGTTCAATTAACTCACTGGTATATAAAAACTAAAAAGGCAGAATTACACAGGAGAATCACAGTCTGGTCTTACACTATACTCATTATAAATAAACTTCTAAGCCAAAATATGTAATCAGATATTAGAAACAAACTTCCCTTAAACTTAGGATTTAAATTTTGAAACTGAGAAGACATTTACCACACTGTATCACAAAATCTATACTTCACAAGTGTTAATTTCAGATGCCTAACTTATTGGATTTTACTCACACAGCATATAGATTTATAAAATATCATTACTGGTAATTCATATATCATCTAGTTTAAGAAATAGTATCATATACCAATTCCCAAAATAATACAATTCCATCAAGTATAGATCTGTAAACTTTTTCATTTCAGATATGAGTTAATATGTTTTTCCACATTCTGACCTGTCCTCACTTATAATCAAGTATTAAAAAATCTGACTCCTATGAAATTGAAAAGCATGTTTTCTTCTATTAAAAAGGTTAATTTTAAAAAATCACTTCTTAATGATTAATAAGCACTAAGATTTTTCAATCCACTGCATTTAAAAACTGTTCTTCTTGAAGTTTCAGTTTAAACTCCTCCCTGATTCTTTCTAGTAACTCTGGTTTAAAAATGATGTCCAGCGCAGTCATTGCCAGAGCTTTGGCCACACGCAAAGTGTAGAACTGAGCATCCTGCGATCCTAAAAGGAAGAGAAAATAAATTAGAATATCTCCATATGTACTAAGAATTTATTAATTCCTCAGTTTACCCCTTAATGAACTGCCTCTCCACTGCCCACCATAACCAAGTATTTTCTAGGTGATGTTAATGAAATGACAGGTTGAACTAGTTAGAAAAGTAGCTAATTAATAGGGAGAGAGGGAATGTGAAGGGCAGACATCTAACAACATATACCTGCAGCTTCAGTGTATTGTTCAGTATGATTCAAAGCACTGGATCCAATGTAAAAATATGGATGAATTCCAGGAACCACAAAGGTAACATTTCCAAAGTCAGTAGATCCTTGAACACAAAGAAAAGCATACTTGGTTAAATACTTTTGAGTGATGAAATCAACCATAATTCTACACTTAGTTACAGTTCTGTGCCGTCAGAGCAAACATAAAGACTTCTTGGCCAGTCATCTTCTGTGCCATTAGAGCAAACATAAAGAGTTCTTGGCCAGTCATCCACATCCTCAGACCCTCACTGACTCTCCTACCCCTCCAGTGTCCACACAGTGCTGACGAAGGTCTCCCCAGACCTGCCCTTGCTCACAGCTACTCCTACTGGTCCTCCTATAGCACTGCACTGTCACCCTCCCTTCTGTAAATTCTGATGGCCCCTTCCCTTCCTGTCTGTCTTGGAGGTATAGACTCCCTGATCTGACCACAAAATACTAGTTATTTGAGATTCAATTCCAGGCCCTTCTTCTCATGTCATAGTCTTTCTCAAGATTTCGGCCATTCGTATTATTTCAAATATCCATCAACTCAAAATTTATGCTTACTCTCATCTAAGCTTCATGTTTATACATCCATTTGCCAACCTGATTCTTGTTGTCTTCATGGTGGGTCAAATTGAACATGTCAAAGTTCCTGTTCTGCCCTACTCTATAACAATACCTCTCAAATAGCTCAGAATCCTAACATTTCTCAGCACCATCACCAGTATCTGTCCCAGGTCTACACAATCAATTCTTCCTGCCTGAACTCCTTCAATGATCTCTTAAAGATTAAGCAACATCTACTGTATTTGCCAAAATATTCCGTCTTACCATGATCTGATATCAATCACTCTTTTAACCTAACCTTACACTATACTACCACACTTCCTCTTTACCCCACTTGATCTGCACATTCAATATCCATGCTCTCTACCACTTAAGGGCTCTTCAGCTCAAGGTGAGTGCTTTACCACTTGAGTCACAGTGCCACTTCCAGCTTTCTGGTTAACTGTAGATAAGAGTCTCACAGGGGCTGGGAAGGTGGCTCAGTGGTAGAGCGCTTGCCTTGCATGCCTGAGGCCCTGGGTTCGATTCCTCAACACCACATAAGCAAAAAGAAAAAAGCTGGAAGTGGCGCTGTGGCTCAAGTGGTAGAGCGCTAGCCTTGAGCTGAAGAGCTGAGGGACAGTGCCCAGGCCCAGAGTTCAGGCCCCACAGACTCCCGACCGGGCTCAGCCTCCTGAGTAGCTATGATTACAGGCATGAGCCACGTGCCAGGCAGGAAATGGTATTTTAACTACCATTATGTCTAGCTTTCACATGGCCAACAGTAACATTTGGTGAATAAAGTACAGTAAAAACAAAGCCTTGTGCTCACTCAGGACAGTTGTCGAATGTTTGGCATGTGTCAAACACTGCACCAGGCAAAGTCAGACTACACAAGAATAAGTGGTAAGGCAATGAGGATATGTAACCAACAGCAGCCAACATTTCTCTGGAATTGCCTTGGGCCAAACAAGATTCTAAATGCCTCGTACATATTTCCATTTACTTTTTTGTTCTGTTGTTTTGTTTTGTGACAGGGCCTCACTATGCAGCCTAGGCTGGCCTTAAACTTGAAATACTCCTGCCTCAGCCTCACAAGTGCTGTAATGTACACCATCCCTGGTTTCTTCACTTACATTTTGAACAGTTCTCATTTTTACACAGTGGGAAATCAAAGCTTACAGATACCAAATAATGGCTCATAGCTAGCTAGTAGTCATGTGATAAAGGCTAAGGCTCAACTCTGAAGCTCTGCAAAAATGTGCTGCTTCAGCCAGGCACCGATGACTCACGCCTATCATCCTAGCTACTGAGGAAGCTGAGATCTGAGGATCGTGGTTCAAAGCCAGCCTGGGCAGAAACGTCCGTGAGACTCTTATCTCCAATTAACCACTAGAAATCCAGAAGTGGCGCTGTGGCTCAAGTGGGAGAGGGTTAGCCTTGAGCTGAAGAGCTAAGGAACAGTGCCAGGCCCAGAGTTCAAGACCCAGAACAAAAGGACAAAAAAAAAAAGTACTGCTTCTGAAAATACTAAGCATTTGGTTCCAGGATGGTTCCAGACATGAAATGTGTAGTGATGGTACAGCAGTGAACAGGATGGAGAAAAGCTGACTACATATTTTAACATCTTACTGAGCTAGGCCCTACAGTCTGCAAATGGTACCTAAGGACAATCAATTTATTTCATTGTTTTTGTCTATTATATAAACCCCAACCCTGAGCAGGTCTGACTATGTGTCTTCCCTCATACAGCTAGACTGCAGAAACATGCTAGGGTAAAATGCAGGACTATGAAGACTACCTTGACAACAAATTTATGGTCCATCTTTAGTGCTTAACTGAGCTACTAATGATGTTCAGAATAAACATACAACCTCTCTAATGTCCCTGGTAGCTCTCTTTCAGCCCTCCAGTTGTGCTTGAGCTACAACATCTCCTAGGAGGATGTCTCAGAACTGCTGTTCCTCTTTCCAGAACACTCATCTATATCTATTTCTTTCAAGGATTGCTTTAAAAAAATATTTTCTTGGGCTAGGAAGGTAGAGTGCTTGCCTTGCATGCATGAAGCCCTGTGTTCAATTCCTCAGCACCACATAAACAGAAAAAGCCAGAAGTGGTGCTGTGGCTCAAGCAGTATACCCCTAATCTTGATCTGAAGAGCTGAGGGACAGCACCCAGGCCCAGAGTTCAAGCTCCATGACTGACAAATAAATAAATAAATAAATAAATTTCCCATGTTTACATCCACTGTTTTCCTTTAAGCCTGTCTTTGGAAAGAGAAGAAACTTGTCTCACCAGTCATTGTAGTAGGTAGAAAAGTGAGATCTAGACATTTTGTCTCTCCAGGCTTTACTTATTTTCCATTAGACCAACTGAGTTTCTAATTGCTGGTCTGATGACCCTTAGATCATACTTACTTTATTCCATATTGGCAGCATCTGACATGACATATTCTCCTTCCCTTTAGGAATCTTCTACTGTCTTGGCTTCCATGACAACTAGATCCTAATTATCTGGCTTTCTCTGACTACAGTCTCCTTCAGATCTCTGCCTTTTCCATATCCTTAAATGCTGTTGATCACTGTTTCATCTGTCTTCTCCCTCTATGTACTTGGACAAATAAATCAATGATAACTAATTCAATGACCTCCCATACACTGACAAATCCTTAATTTTCAAGCTACATATCTTTTGGGGTTCCAAAATCAACAAGTCTACTTAGAATTCCTTGATTTAGGGGCTGGGAGGGTGGCTCAGTGGCAGAGTACTTACCTTGCATGTATGAGGCCCTGGGTTTGATTCCTCAGCACCACATAAGCAGAAGAAAATGGAAGTGGCACTGTGGCTCAAGTGCTAGAGTGCTAGCCTTGAGCTGAATTGCTGAGGGACAGTGCCCAGGCCCAGAGTTCAGGCCCCACAACCAACAAAAAAAAAAAAAAAGAATTCCTTTATTTACTAAGCTAATACTATTTTATACCAACCCCACACAACTCTAAACTGCTTTTTCTCTTGAAGTCTTTATTCTCAGTGAATGACAATGACACCTTAGGAATGAAAAAGAATGTCAACATTTTATTTCAGCAGACAGATTTCTAACTTGAAAAATGTTATCATATTCTCATAAAAGGAAATGAAAAACCCCAAGTATAATTAAATTCTAATAGCTATTTGTTACACTGTAGAATCTAAAAATGTCCCAGAGATAACTAAGTACTTAGCAATCTGCTTATTATACAAATGAATTAAAACTCTTATTTCCTGTTTTAGTTGCTTAAAAGTTTAAATTAAGCTGGGCACCAGTGGCTCACACCTGTAATCCTAGCTACTCAGGAGACTGAGATGTGAGACTTGCAGCTCAAAGCCCAGCTAGGGCAGGAAACTCCTTGAGACTCTTATCTCTAATAAACTACTCAAAAAAAGCTGGAAGTGGCACTGTGCTCAAGTAGTCTTGAGCAGAAAAGAGCAATGCCCAGGCCAAGTTCAAGCCCCAGGACCAGCAAAAGAAAAAGAAAAAAAAAGTTAAAATTAAACAAATTTAAATACCACAACTATTTATAATATAAACCTAAAGTAGATGGCTATGCCTAAAAATAAGTTTGCTAGTAAGATATTATATATTACATTGATTTCTATAATCATAAACTTTTGGAAGCTATCATTAAAACCTCCAAAATTGTTTGACCAAAGATGGCATTTTTCTTTTTTAAATAGTTCAATATATAAGAAATGAATTTAATTACCTGAAGGGCCATTCAGCATTGCATCTTCTGAAATGAACTCTATCCCCAGCTTTTCCCCATTCTCCATATAAGCTTTCCACAGGCTTTTATTAGGGAGGACATTGTAATAATCATGTGCCCCACTTTTTATTTCTACCTAATAAAAAAATTACAAAACAAATTTTGAAATAAAAACTTTAATTCACAAATTTAAAAGCAGTTAATTTTGTCTCTAGATATAAACTTTCTCAAATGTCTTACCTTACAGAGATACTTTTAATACTAAGAGTTCCTAAAACTCTCTGTTTTATGTTACATATGCACCAGACCATACAATGACACCAAGCTCCAGACTAGCCAGCAAGTGTCAAATTCAGTGACCTATGTGACTGAGAGCTGTGGGAAGAACCTAGCAATTTCTACTCTGATGCTGGAGGTCTAAAACCACACTCTGAGGAACTCTGCTTGAGCTTTCAGACTCCCAAATAAAGAAAAGATATGTCAGAATGACACTATTGCCTGGCATGAAAAGGGACATTGAGAGAGATACTTAAATCTTCAGAGCAAAGGGATGGCAATAGTTCTCACTCATCAGTATAATCATCTGGAGATACCAAAGCAGTGTATGTGTATCTACTTAACACAGATTTACAAACTTAGTTTCGTTTAAGTCAAACTGGGCATTGTATCTCCAAACTGTCAGCAAAAGCTAATCATAAAATAGTACAGCATGCATTTCTTGTACTTTTGATAACATATAAGGTAGGGTGAATCAATCAGCAAATCAGTCACCAAAAAAACAAGAAACTATATAAAGATTTAAATCCAATAAGCCTCCTTTAAGGGAACATTTCACACTATAAAGTATTAGATAACGACAATAGTTTGTTTGTGTTTTCTAAATATTTAAAGTTAAATACGTACAGGAATAGTCCCTGTAATGCCTATGTAAATTCACAATTTTACCAAATCTATACCTACCTTTGCTGGTAGGTACTGGCACAAGAAGGCTTGTTCTTTGCTCCTACATTTGTCCATATCTATATCTAATCACTACAACACATCAGGAGCTTTTATATTCTAATTTTTGCTGCCTACATCTCCCCAAGTGCCTTCATCCCTTTCCTTTACATACCTGAAAGTATGATCATCCTTCAAAGCTCAATTCAGGTGTAAAGTCTTCCATAAAACCTTCCTCTTCCTTCAGACCACTGTTTCCTTCCTCAGATCCTTTCTGACACCACCCACCCTACTCTTAGAACAGTAAACACACACTGAGTACCACTGCCTCTATGAGACACTGCCACTATGTAAAGGACCTTTTCTCTGAAGAACAGAAAAAAAAAACAAACTAAGTAATAAATACACATGAAGGCCAGGCTCTAATAAACATTATCTCACTTAACCTCTCACAAGAACCCTGTGATAGGTTATATTATTACCCCTATTCTTCAAGGGAGAAAATGGAAGCCCAGAAATATTAAATAACACATCTAAAGCCTACCAAATTAGTAGAAGTACAAGGCAAAAGACAGGCCAAGACCTGTCTTTCCAACTAAACTATGTGCAAGTTTCTTGCCCTGTACAATCCTAAAACTCATCCGACTTTAGAGCACGTTATAGTTTAAATCAAAGGACTCTATGTCTATTTTAACTTCATTTCATCAAGTCCTAAGAATTTTATTACTATGTCACCAAAACAATAAAAAATTCTGCAAATTCTGTTATACTCTCTTCCAAAGGAACTAGATAAAGCAATTCAAAAACTTCATCTACCAAAAGGGAAGAAAATACCTTGCAAAAAGCAGGGATTAATTCATTAAAATCTTTGGCTGAATTAAACAAAAAAAAGGCAGGGATTCTATGGCATAGTTGTACCCAACTTACTCTAACTGCTGTTAAGTATGAAGACCTGTAGACTTTCCTATTGCAAGCAGAGTAAAATAGCATTAGCTATTCAACCAACTCATTTAACGTATTCAAGACATCACTGTCAAAGCAAGCTTCTGAGACAGATCCCCAACAGCAAACATGGCATCGGCCACCATTACCAAATGGGAGATGCACATTGGCTTCAGATCTAACAATATAAGCAGCCCCAGTCCACATATAAAACTCTTGATTATAATTAACTCTGAAAAGTTCTTACTGTGCACCCTGTAGCCAAAGCCGCAGCTCTGAAGCAATCTTCTGCCTTTTTGGTCAAAACCTGAAGTTCTTTCATTGAGGGTGCACGGAAGTAATAGAGTAATTCAGAATAAGAGGGAATGATATTGGGTTTTACACCACCATTTTTTATTATACCTATAAAAAGAACCAAATTATTGAAATTAAGCTTGTGGTCATTTTTTTTAACTTAATACTCCTATAGTTTGTCAGCCAACAATGAGAAGAACCCCTGAACATTTTTTTTTTTTTTTGTCAGTCTTGGGGCTTGAACTCTAGGCCAGGGCTTGACCCTCACTCAGCTCTTCAGCACAAGGCTAGCACTCTACCACTTGAGCCACAGCACCACTTCCAGTTTTCTGGTGGTTAATTCAAGACAAGAGTCTCATGGACTTTCCTGCCCAGGCTGGCTTTGAACTGCCTCCTGAGTAGCTAGGATTACAGGCGTGAGCCACTAGCGCCCAGCTCCCTGAACAAATAAGTCACATTTAGTTATGGGAAAATACCAAATGCATATCAAAGAACACTATGTACTAAAAACCTCCAAAACATATATTTTTTTCTAACTATACAGAATAAAGATTCATCTAGTCAAAGTAATAAAATGATACACAAAATCTAATTTCATGTGATCTACTTTAAAATACTGTGTTCCTTTTAGAGAACTCAAGGGGAAAAATTGATAAAAGGAACAATTACAAACTGACTTCAACTTATAAAAAAATCAGGCAAAGAATAGATATTGAACAATTTCCTAAATCATAAGGACATAAACTAAAAAAGAAATGTGTGCTCTTAAGACAACGCTTTATTAGTATATTTACATTATGGCAGTGATACATATAATTTTTTTTTAAACAGTCAGGATTTAACAATCCTCGAGTAGGGATAGCCCTAACTCACTGTGTTCTGTAACAGTAGAAACATAGGTAGTGAATCAAGATCAGAGGTGGCCCTGGGCAAAAATGTAAGATCTGGGCTGAGAATGTGGCTTAATGGTAGAGTGCTCACCTAGGATGCATGAAGTCCAGAGTACAATTCCTCAGTACCACATAGACCGAAAAATTCAGACGTGGTACTATGGCTCAATTGGTAGAGTGCTAGCCTTGAGCAAAAAGAAGCCCAGGGACAGTGCCCAGGTCCTGAGTTCTAGCCCCAGGACTGGCCAAAAAAAATTAAAAAGATCCAAAAAACTCAACTTAAACAAAAAGTGATAAGGATGTGGCTCAAGTTGTAAATCATCTGCTACCAAACACAAAGGCCCTAATTTAAAAACCTCGGTACTGCTTAAGAAAAAAAAAAAAAGGCCAGACACTGATGGCTCATGCCTGTTGACCTAGAAGGCAAAAGTCTGAAGTTTCAAACCAGCCTGGCAGAAAAATCCTTGAGACTTGATTTCGAATTAAGAAGCAAATTGCCAGACTGCAGGTGTGGATGAAGTGGTAGAGCATTAGCTGTGAGCGAGTAAGCCAAGGGAAGCATAAGGCCTCAAGGTCAAGCTCTGATATTAGCACCAAAAAAATAAGAGAGACAATTAATGTACCCGGTTCAGTGGTTTAAGCCTGTAACCTTTCTACTTGGGAGGCAGAAATTGTAGAATCATGACTCAGCTCTAGTCTGGGCAAAAAGTAAATTCACCAATACTGGTACAGTGGCCACATGTTTATCATCTCAGCTTTAAGGCAAGTACAATGGCTAGTTACGGGGGTATAGGCTTGTCATCCCAGTGACATGGGAAGAACCAACAGGAGGACCACGGTCCAGGCTGGCCCAGGCATAAAACAAGACTCTATCTCAAAAGTAACAATAGGGCTGGCAGAGAGGCTCAGGCTGGTAAAATGGCTCAAGTAGATCAGCCCAGATCTCAGCCCAAATCTTACATTTTTGCTGGCACTCAGTAGAGTGCCAGCCTAGCAAGTGTGAAGTCCCAGGTTCAAACCCACTACCACTCAAGAGCCAAAACCTTGTATTTCTTACTAAAATATGACACCATTTGTGCCTCTTGGCATATATACCTATATTTTTAACCAGTCCTGGGTCTTGAACTCAAGGCTTGGACACTGTCCCTGAGCTTCCTTTATTCAAGGCCAGCACTACCACTTGAGCCATAGTGCCACTTCTGGTTTTTTCTGTTTACATGGTACTGAGGAACTGAACCCAGGGCTTCATGCATGCTAGGCAAACACTACCACTAAACCAAATTCCAACCCGATTGGTATATTATTCTGTTAAATCAATTTCTGAAAAATCTGTTTAAAATTTTAAAATATCCATATATAGCATATATTATGTTTTCAATCCTTTTTTTAAAAAAAAAGTCAAATAGTTACATTGTGTTAAAATGTCATCATGTTATGGAAAATATTGAACAGTACTACCATGAACTCTCCAGGTTGGTTTCATTTGATGCCGTAACACCGACAGATTGTTATAGGCAAGAACAGCAGCATCCAAGGCATTGACTCCTTCCCAGGGGTAAGCAGCAGCATGAGATGCTTTCCCATAATATTTCACAGTCACACTAGGAGGCAAACAATTATTGAAAACTACTTTTTCTGAAGTCTAATAATTAACTAAATATTTCTCCAAACTAATTCACAGAGCTGTGGATACAGCTCAGAGGTAGAACTACCTTGCCTAACATGCACAAAGCATCACAAGAAACTTCTAAGATTTTAGGATAATTATTATATATATATATGTTACAGCATATATCATATATCATTCATGATATATACTTGTATATATTATATGCATAAATGCATATGATACATAATCTATATATTAGCACCATTATCTTGAAACTAGAATTTCATCAAAACTGTTAATATTACAATATGGAAAAGAAATCCTACATGAAAATAGCTTTGGTACCATTTCTTCCAAGTTCAAATCTACATAACTAAAGAACAGTAAACTATTAAAGGAAAAAATGCAAGTGGCTGTTTTACATTAGCAATAGTAGTTTTCCTTAATTAGCATATTTTAAACAAATTAGTAAAAAATTATTTTCAAGGTAAACTTCAGTTGTTTTTTTTTGATCAGTCGTGGGGCTTGAACTCTGGGCCTGGGTGCTGTCCTTGAGCTCTTTAGCTCAAGGCGAGTGCTCTACCACTTGAGCCACAGCACCACTTCCAATTTTCTGGTGGTTAATTGGAGAAGCACCACTTCCAGTTTTCTGGAGGTTAATTGGAGATAGAGAATCTCATGGACTTTCCTGCCCAGGCTGGCTTTGAACCATGATCCTTGAATCTCAGCCTTCTGAGTAGCTAGGATTATGGGCATGAACCACCAGAGCTTAGCTGTTTAGTTTTTTAAAAGCAAATATTAATAACCCTAAGGTGCTAGTGGCTCATGCCTGTAATCATCACTACTCAGGAGGCTGAGATCTGAGGATCACTATTCAAACCCAGGTAGGACAGTGAAGTCCCTGAGACTCTTCTCTCCAATTAACTACCAAAAAAAACTGGAAGTGCAGCTGTGGCTCAAGTGATAGATCACTAGCCTTGAGCACAAAAGCTCAGAGACAGTGCTCAGGCCTTGACTGAGTTCAAGACCATCACACACAAAAAAACACAACAACACACACACATATACACACACCAACTAGAACAATATATTGAGCTAAATTCTTGAGAAGAAAAATCTTCCTTCAAAATTTAATTTAGGAAAGAAAAATATAATTTAGAGCTGGATGTGGTGGTGCAAGCTGTAATTTCAGCATGAGGGAAGCTAAGGCAGGAAGATCTTAAGTTTGAGGCCAACCAGAAAAATACCTTATGCAGGTAATTACTTATGTAATTCATCCAAATAGTATTAAAAGGATAAGCCAGACACTAAGAAGAAGACTGAGCCAAGAAAGCTGATCAAGACTAAAAAGCTTAAGTTTAACTCTTGTAGGCTGGGAAGCCTGTGGACAACTACAGTTCCCTGCCAGAGGAATTAGCAAGCATTTCTAATCCTTAATGTTTTCCAGAGCTATTCAAGTGCTACTATATTACCTCTGAAACCAAAGTTAAGTCTTCCAATTTTCACAATGCCAATTCCTAGTGATGACAATAAAGATACCAAACAGCTAAAATGCTCAACCTCTAAAATCAAAACCCTGGTGATAAATGGGACCTGAATACAATCAACTGCTGGGACAATTCTGCTATTACTGCCAAGTGCCAGGCTATACAGCGAAAATCACTTAAGTAGCTGGGCAGTATAGACTAGGAGCTACTAACCAGCCGATGATGGTTAAAATTTCTCTAAGGTCTGCTCCTGGATGGCAAGCAGACTCCTCCCTCCTCGTGACCAACTAAGCCTCCACCCAGTACCTGCGTTCCTAGGCCACTGGCACACGTGAAGGTCACATCGGCAACCACTGAGGTCACATCTAGATCTGATGTGGCCACACATTTCTTCCACCTCCCACCTCCCTTTACCTGGCCTACCATAGATAAGGCATGGCCTGGTGCCAGACTGCCCCTTTTCCAGCTTCGTGGAGCGCTGGCCTAGTGCCAGCTAGTGCGTTGAATAAACCTATCCCTTACCTGCATACCACCTGTGTGGTAGTGTTCTTACAGAGCAACCTCTTTAAATACCTAACAATTTCCAGTGTGAAAATTCAAGCCACTTCAACGATACAAGCTTATAGGTACCAAAAAAGTGAGCTTTCGGCAACAGGCAAATCTGAGAAGTATAGGTTGACAAATTTCAATAAATATGCAGCTGCTCAGGTTCTATGTTCTCTTTTTAGGGAATAATCTAGACTCTCTGCAAAGAACCAAACTATAATAAATGAAACAGAGAAGTATATTGTCTTCCCAAAACGAATAAAACTGTTCAATATCAATTACAAAGAGACCTCCTCATCAAAAGATAGATGGGGGGGGGGGTAGTTGTGGAGATGGGAGAGAAGGGATGATAGGGGAAAAACACAGGAGGAGGCAACAATGCTTGATAAGAAATGTACTCATACCTTGCTCATGTAATTGCAACCCCTCTGTACAGTATTTTCACAATAAAAAACATATTTTAAAAAAAGATGTTTTCCAGAAACTCTCAGAGTTCAAACATCATATGAGCCCAGTGGGCTGGTGGCTCACACCCATAATCCTAGCTACTCAAGAGGCTGAAATATGAGGATTACAATAAAAAGCCAGCCTGGATAGGAAAGTCCATCAGACTTTGATATCCAATTAACCATCAAAAAGATGGAAGCAGAGCTGTGTTCAAGTGGTAGAACACTAGCCCTGAGGAGGAAAAAAAAAGCTCAGGGACAGACCCAGGTCCTAAACGAGCACATGCATATACACACACATACCATATAGAACATGAACGTCAACATGCTGTTTGTCATTCCTATGCTTTTTAAACACTCTTTTAATAGTTTAATTATAAACACCCAATTAGAAGGGGCTTGGCCCAACGCCATTCTACATAAATAAAGATATTATATAATTATCTTTCAGTTTAATTTTTGCTTTAGTTGGTAAGGGGAAAGGGTCTCAGGTGGCTAAGGCTGCTCGGAACTCATGGACTAAGTGATGTTCCTACCTCAGCCTCCCAAGTAGCTTGAACTATGGTGGGATGGGGAGGGGTGATGCCATTGCACTATTCTTCCTCCTGAATGATGGGATTACAGGCAAACACCAACACACTCGGCTCAGTTTAGTTCTTAAATGTATAAATGTGGAGTATTAGTCCCTGGCTTAGATATCAAAATTATCTACATCTGTTTTCCTTGATTTCAAGTCTTCCAATAGAATTACTTACTCATGTTCGGCCACATCCAGTAGATAAGCAGCATCCTCTTGGGATGGATGGGCCATAAAGACAACATCAAGGTCTTTAAAAGCGCCTGCTTCAATTAAATCAATTTTGCCACCACCATCTTCTTCTGCAGGGGTACCCAGGACAATTATCTACAAGGAAATATCTATGTCAGAGCCAAAGAACAATAACAAGTCCTAGTAGGAAAAATGTTAAACAGGTTCTCTTACATATGCGTTCACAATCTACATTTAAGTCTTGAACTATGGACAGAGGTTTTATTCATGGAAATTTTTGCAATGAACATAAATATACAATGCTAAATTAATCACAAAATTTAATTTACATTGGTATATTAATTTGGTGCAAAGTATATACAGAGATAGGACAGGAAGCTTCCTCAAATATTTATAATAACTATAGTTAACGACAAAGCTGAAAAAAGTTGACTACTGCATACTTAGTACTTCAAACTTCATTAGGAGGTATTTGTTAAAGCTTCTCCATGGCTAAGCCTTTTTCACAATTGTATATAATGTATATAATCTTTACTGGTAAGGAACTATGAATAATTTGTTAGGTCTCCTCACAACAACCCTGTGAAGTAGGTGAGTGACAGGATGTGATTTTAGGGAGACGGTTCTGGGGAGTTCAGTGAAGTGGCTTGCCCCATGTCCCAGAGGTAATCTTTAGGCATTATCTCAGATGGATGGCCTGAGCTTCAGACCTCAATTCTGACTCAATTCTGATTCAATTCTGTGCTACCTTCTTTAAAAGTCTTAACTCAGTAGAAGACACTGCGTTGAAATGAACTTTATGACTTTGCAGGGGGGAGTAGGGAGGTGGGGAGGAAAAGGATCGTAGGGGAAAAACAAAGGAGGGGGCAACAATGCTCGATATGAAATGTACTTATTACCTTACTCATGTAACTGTAATCCCTTTGTACAGTATCTTTACAATAAAAAATATATTTAAAAAGTCAACTCAATCCTTTATGGAGAGCATTAAACAAATCTTAATAACCATGGTTAAAAATGGCCAACTAGTACACAAACTTACTAATTCGATTCCACCAGTTCAACCAGGCAGATTTATTGGTCACCAAACACCTAATTAAACAAAAGAAAACTTTACAGAATAAACATTTCACATTGATATTTGAGGTTAACTTCTTCAAACAGTTTTTAAAAGGAAAAGAAAAATTACCAACTAATATACTTTCATGGTAACATATTCGAGCACAATGAAACAAGCGTGAAAAGTTTTCGTTTGCCAAAAGGCCAACTTAAATTCCCTTTTCAGGTAAGACAAGTAAGTTAACTTTGCTGAGAACTATTTGAAATTAGAAGTTGGTGTCTCTTTTCAAACCATCTTTCTCTAGAGTTAAAAAGCACCCAAACTCTTAAATTAAGCTGCTCTTTCTCTTTGGCTCACGAGATGTTTGGCTTATGAAATCTTGTCTCAGAACCTTTCACAAACCTGGTTAAAGCTCCATCGCTTCAGGGTTGAGTGCAAAGACTAAAGGACGTGCCCCAGCCCAAAGAAAACAAAACCTAACCAAACACAAAAGCAAGTCCCCAGAGGCAGAGGAGAGAAGCTAGCTTAAAGAAAAAAAAAAAAAAAAGACTCAAGAGAAGGAACTGTTGTGATAAAACAAAGAGGTTACTGAGGTGGGAAAAATGGGCTAAAGAGTGTTAAAATAAAACATTGTCTTCTCCTTAACCTGAATGATGACGAATGAATCTTAGCTCAGAGAATGAAGCATATCTGGAAAGACAGTAACACAAGATTATGACAAACATAAACATCCCCCAGTGTAACGCCTGGAGACCATGTCTTTCAAGTTGTGACATGAAAAATTAAGGCTTCACGATAGATCCACCTATCTAGTATGCATGCGTTCGTTTCTGCATTATTAATTTTGTACATTTCTAGAGGTCTGGGGGTCCTGAAGACGAAAAGCTGCCTATCCAAACACCAAGAAACATCCAAAAGGGTTTTGTGTTTAGCCTACAGATGAAGTGCTGTAGGATTTCCTGTCCCAACAAAAACAAAAGAAGCAAACAAACATAACCCAACTTTCTCCAGAGATCGCACAACCCGGCCAGCCAACTGCAGTTGCTTCATAGATACCAAAAATAACTGGTAAGGAAAACCAGGCTTGGCTCTACGTTCTCGGCTACGGTACATTCAGGTACAGGGCGTCGCTAGTCCAGACGGATCCGGACCCCGTCCAGCCTTGGGGCAGGCAGAGGCGAGGGCCGTGCACTGGGCACGGTCCCCGGTGGCCGCCCGCCCGCCCGCCCGCCCGGCAGGGACGGAGGTGCGCGGCCGCCCCGGCCCCGCTCACCTTCACGGGCGGAGGCGGCCCGGACAGGCCCTCCAGGGCGCCCCGCACGCCCAGCGCGGCCGCCGCGCCGACCTCAGCGATGAGGTTGTGGCCGCACGCGTGGCCGATGTCCGGCAGCGCGTCGTACTCGCAGAGGAAGCCCAGGTGCAGCGCGCGCGGCGCGGCGGCCGGCCCGCGGGGCCCCGGCGGCGCCCACTCGGCGCGGAAGGCCGTAGGCAGCTGGTAGTGCGGCTGCACCGCCCAGGAGGCGGCCGGCGGCTCCCGCTCGAAGAAGCGGATCAGCACGTCGTGGGCCCGGTGCTCCTCGTACGCCAGCTCCGGCTCGCTCCAGATGGCGCGGCTCAGGGCCCCCAGCCGCTCGGCCGCCTCGTCGATGCGCTCGGCCGCGCGCAGCTTTAGCAGTTCCAGCAGCTCCACCTCGGAGTGGCCGTCGCACAGGCCCCCCTCCACGGGCCGCTCCTCTCCCGGCCTCATGCTGCCCCGAGCGCCGCTGTCCGCTCACACGCCTGCGAGCGCCCGTGGCTGCGCTCTGCGCCTGCGCGTGCGCACCGAGGCCGCCGGCCCCGGGCTCCTCCCCAGGCCCGGCGCCCACAGCTCCGCGAGTAGTACTCCCCGGCTGGCGGGGCGGGGCGTGGGACGAGCCTGGGGATTGGATGGATGAGTGTGCGTGCTCCAAAGACTATTAACTTTCCCATATTGTTTATATCCCAAAGCAGCCAAGACGAATAACTTTGAAAAATACCTTATGACTTTTTTTTCTGGAAAAAGAAGTAAAAAAGTGGAAAGATTTTAGTTCCTAAAAGATGGTGTCAATCCACATCGTGAACCAAAAACACTGGCCTATTCGCCCAAATACAGGTAAGTATTCAGTGCTGCCCTACTTTTTCCTCCTGATGTATTATGTAAAAGCTGCCACAATTCTATGCATTTTGTTTTTCTTTTCACATAAAAATCATCGTCTTAGAATGTCACCTGGGTTCTATAGCATGCTCTCCGTATGCATTCGATACTATGTTATGATCCATCTGAATAGAGTATTGCTCAAGGCTCGTGCTCTACCACTCTGAGTCATGGCACTACTTCCGGTTTTCTGGTGCCTAATTCTCGAAAGCCACTTAGCTGGGAGCCTGTGGCTCACACAATAATCTTAGCTTCTCAGGAGGCTGAGATCTGAGGATTAAAGGTTTGAAGCCGGCCCAGGCAAGAAAGACCATCAGACTCTTCTCTCCAGAGATAGAGTTATAGCCCTAGTGGCAGAGTGCCAGTCTTGAGCTAGCAAAGCTAAGGGACAGAGTTTAGGCCTTGAGTTCAAGCCCCAGTACACACACACACACACACACACACACACACACACACACACACACACACTTCCAAACGATTTAGAAGTCTGAGACAGAATTTTTAGTATGAGGCCAAAACTGGTCTACACAGCCACACCTTGTTTCAAATAAAATAAAAATTAAAAAGACTTAAAACACAAAATATAGAAAACCAAAGAGTTAAACAAAAGATTTATATTAATATTAACTTCATAGATGAAGTTATTTTGAATAGTAGTTTCAAAAGAAAACATATGACTAGTTTTATTTAGATTGTAATTGATGCTGAACTCAAGTAACGTGATATATACAGCTAATGTTCACATTATAACCAGATTTTAAATTACCCAATGAAGAAATTGAAGATATCATACTCTTGTTTTTATCCAGAGTTAGGCAGAATGTCTGAAAAACTATTTTCGATGCTACTAGTGCTAACATTTTTGGGATTTCTATTCTAAGGTTTCTACATATTGAAAGCTTCAGCTCTTTCTACCCTTCCATCCCCTTCCTTAATTTGCCACAACTGGATTGAGTAAGACAAGATATATTCATGTAAAAAAGTCAGATACATCTTTTGAAAAAAAAGTGTAAAGGACGCTAACATGCAGGAAGACTATAAACTTCTATTCTTACTACTTTATATGTTATATGTGAATGGAACATTCTAACTGGAAAATATTGCCTTTCTCAGTGAACACGTTATTTGAAACTCTACCCTCCAGACATAATATAAATATGATATTAATTCCTGGGCCCACTCAGCTGTACTTAATAAATCTTACTCTCACAAAACCCTCCCAATATCTATGAGTGAATTGGCTAAAAACCACAGCTCTCATAGAGTAAAACCAAATGACATTTACAGAGCTGTACACTAGGCACTATTCCAAGTGCTTTTCATGTATTAACATATCCAACTCTCATCCTTACCTATGAGGTTGTTAATGGGATTATTTACCTTCAGTTCACAGAGTGCCCAGGATTACACAGTTAGTAAATGGTGGGCTTGGTGTCATACAGGAGAAGTGTAGCCATCATACTTTATTACTTGTGTAAATAGATATCTAAACCCACAAATGTATCTACAGTAAATCTATTCACAGCAGAATCTGCAATAATCATTCAACTGAAATACATTTTACTGCTGTAGTTCTGCCTGCTGACATCAATGGAGCCCATATTATTTCCGTGGGGGCAGTAATAAACAACAGGAAGGGACAGATAAATATTGCATACTGCTTCTATTTATATTGTTACCAACTAACAGAAACAGAAGGGACTTAGGTCAAAGATAAACAAAAAGCTTTTGTAAAGTCCACGAATTCCTGAAATATTCCTTAGCCCAAGTAACTTGATTTGATGCTTGATTGAATGTTTGTGTATGGGGAGAGTAGCACAGCAGAGATAAAGGAGGAAACATAACTGAGGTTTTATTGTTAACAGTTGATTGGATGGAAAAGCCATTAAAGTAAATAGGAGTGATGGGAGAATGAAAAGCAAAGTGACCTTAGACAGGCCATATGATGGGGAGGTGGACACAGCTATTCAAGAAGAGACTAGTGAGCTACCCTATGCATAGTGAGTGTACCTAGAGGAAAATTAAATCATTAAGGGCATGAATGACTTGGGAGAAAGGATTTAAAGTTTCAGAAGTAAACATGGAAAAAAATAAAAACAATAAGCAAAACGGTGGCAGATCCTTGTGTGCATTGGGTAACATTCTATTACAACTTGTTTTTAGGTCCTGTTTTGATTTTCTCAAATGACCCATAAAGTGAAGGCAGCTATTTTAAAGCATTGAATGTCCTGGTGCTTGGTGACTTGCAGCTCCCTTTGGCTTCCTTCCATTTTGCCAGTAAGATTAGCTGCTCTGTTCTCTACAGTCATTCCTGGAAATGAGGACACACAAGCTTGTCTGATGCCCTGATTGCTCATGGCCTGTACACAACCCTACAGGGGATATACACATTGCAGCTTGTAAGGGATAAGAAATTCTTCCTCCAAAGTTGTGATTCAGGGAAATGGGTGGAGAATTTTTATTGCTGTACCACTTCTATTAGCCTAGAATCTACAGTTTGAGATCAGAGTAGCACTTGAAGGTGCTTTGAGAGATGCCGATGTTGATGTATTAAGCCATGCTTGCATCTTGACTTCGTGTACTCCATGGTTAATAATTATATTTACTAAGCTGGGTACCAGTGGCTCACACCTGTAATAGTAGCTACTTAGGAGGGTGAGATCTGAGGATTGTGGTTCAAAGCCAGTCAGGCAAGAAAATCCATGAGACACTTATCTCCCATTAAGTACCAAAAAAAGCTGAAAGTGGAGCTATGGCTTAAGTGGTAGATGACAAGCCTTGAGCAAAAAAGCTCAATGACAGGGCTGGGAAGGTGGCACAGTGGAAGAGTGCTGGTCTTGCATGCATGAGGCCCTGGGTTCGATTCCTCAGCACCACATAAGCAGAAAAAGCCAGAAGTGGTGCTGTGGCTCAAGTGGTAGAGCGCTAGCCTTGAGCTGAGGGACAGTGCCCAGGCCCAGAGTTCAGGCCCCACAACTGACCAAAAAAAAAAAAAAAAAAAAGCTCAAAGACAACACCCTGGCCTTGAGTTCAAGTCCTAGGACTGGCATAAAACAAACAAAAGCAATCATTATTTTTACTAAAGATTCACTTCCCTAACTTTTGGTGGGATATATTTCAAAACTGCTAGCAGAAATGAATGATGTAAGTAGATGATCACAGGATGCTTAAAATCTTTAAAACACTGTATGGAAATAAATTTTTGTAAAAGATGGTAGAAAGAGTTGTTTGTGGTCTAAAAACTAATAAGTAAATATCTAGTAATGAGAAGTATCATAAAAGATGAAGTGGGGAGCAAACCAGAAATTTCCAAGAAAACCTATTAGGAAAATACAATGTTCCAAAGGTGCCCAAGATCATTCTACCAATAGTTTCCCAAGCAGCTGAGGTTACAGGCATGTACCACTGAACCTGGCAAGCTATTATCCTTTTTGAGTAACAAACTTGAGTTTAGTAACATGTACATAAGTACCTAGGGTAAAGTTTAACACATACTAAGAAATTATCAATAATAACAATAGAATAACCATAACAATATACTATATATTGTACTATATTAAAACTTGTTTATTTTTGGAATTTTCAATTTACTATTTTTATACTGTTCAGGTAATTGAAACCATGGAAAACAAATTTTAGATAAGGGAAAACTATACATGTAATCAGTTAGAAGGGTACCTAGTATACAAACATACATGTACTCAAAAATATCAGCTGCACTGCTAGGTGCTAGTGGCTCACAACTATTATCCTGGCTACTCAGGAGGCTGAGGTCTGAGATCATGGTTTGAAGCCAACCCAGGTAGTAATGTCCATAAGACTCTTACCTATAATTAACCACTAAAAAGCTGGGACTGGAGCTGTGGCTCCAGTGATAGAGCCTTGAGAAGAAAAAGTTCAGAAATAGTGCCCAGGCCCACGGTTCAAGCCTTGAGACCAGTACATGAATGCGCACATGCACTCACGCACGCACACACATGCACGTGCACACGCATACACACACACACACACACACACACACACAAATCAGCTGCATACTAGCCTAGCCTGCATGATCTCATGTTCAAACTGCAGCACACAAAAGTAACAATAATCTGTCATTACTAAGACTTTCAATATTTTAAAATAATGTCACCATAAAAACTGAAAAAGCCAACAACGTACAAAAATCATTTGAAAATTATTATTTATGATCTCATCACTGTTACTAGTGAATGACAAAAATTAGCATTTTGGTGTATGTGTCTCCAGGTTCTCTCTTCTTCCTCTCTCTTTGCCACATGTATGGAGGAAGTATCATCTGTGCATAGTTGGATTCCTTTTCCAGTTTCTGTCTTATTCCATTTTCATTTGTAGGTCAGACTTGATGCATTAGATTCAAACCACTGATGGTTATTATAGATTTTCCTCAGTGCTTTGAAGAGAAATGAGGAGACTGTTATAATCAGCATTATAAAGTTTCCTTAACATGATTCATACATTTCACTATCTCCCAAAGTCCTTCTCTGTTTAACAACTGCATCATCTCTTCTCTCCCCCAGTCTCTCATGCATCCAATCCAGCTGGAGCCAACCCCATTACCTCATTTAACCTTAATACCTCCTTCAAA